CTTCAAGTGTTTAATGATATGTGGTGCTCCACCCCATGTTCCGTTATGCTGAAAAATCTCTCACCTCTCACAAACTGCTTTCAACTTCCAATCATCAGATCAAATGAATTGAAGAAGTAAAATAGCACAACCATTAAAGAAACATGTTCTTTTCAACACGAAGAGATATACTAGTTGAAGGATATTAAAACTGGGGTATATATCGTCAGTGCTTAGGATAGATTTCCGTTTTCACTTCTTTATTAATGTTTATGGAAGAAAGATTTTTCCATTTAGAATATAATAAAAGTTCCATGGTTTCTTTTTCACAGTTTCACTATCGAGCTATTGTGGTCTACTAAGCAACCTTTATCTTCACTTTGTTAATTTTAATAAACAAATTTAATTATTGAATATAGTCAAAGCTCTTCCATTTTTATAATATAAAAAGTTAGTATTCATCTCTTTAAGTTGAAGCAGAAACGTATCAACTTATGTAAAAAAAAAAATGATCGAATCATATTTTCATATTTCAATATTGGAAAAGATATGAAGTTCCTTCCCAGTAGTGACACGGACATCGTAAATATTTTATACTTTCTCGCAAATTTACCATCAATTATTATAATTTGTTTTCAAACTTAAGCTACCACTAAAATATTTATCAAGGGATTCTAAAATGGAGTTTAGAAACAAAAATTCATCTTCACTACCATCATCATCATTGCCATTATTTCTACCGCCACCATGGACACCGCCACTACCATTGCTTAGCACTGGCTCTGCCAACCTCCACCACCTCCACCCTAACCCTTACCCCCCCTTAACAATGTCATTGCCACCATCATCACTTTTGCCAGGGACTACCATCGTCACTAGGCCAGAACACAATCAATTACCCCCGTTATCATAATACTTGAATTAATCAAATGTAACATTAGATAGTAGGTATTGCTTAATTGGAGAGAAAATAGTTTTTATTGACCTTTAGTTTTAAAGGATAAAATAAAATGATCATTAATTAACCTACGTCGAAATATGAAATTATTTACTGAGAACAAATTTCCTATTATACTTAACATTTTATGCATACATCATTCAAATTAAGTCTTTTTTATGAGAGGAAGAGAACAAAAAACTAAACACATCACCCAAATGAAAACAACAAGATCAAATCAATGTATTTAAAACTTCTTTAGGGGCATGGATAATGCCATCATCAATATAAGACTTGACTGGGTCAGCTGTGAAATGATTAAATTGTAAGACATAATTATTAAGCGTAAAACATATTAGTATTCGATCTAATACAACATTAAGCACCAACTCTTGAATTGTTAATAAAATGTTTTTAAATATTGTTTAAACTATATATTCAGAATAACTAAATGGCATTAGCTTTAAGCAATTAGTGCAATTCACTCCTACATTTACATGTCTTTTCTGTATCTTTCATTCTTTCTCATTTTTATTCTAAATAAATTCCTGATTTTACAAGAACAACAACCAAGTTTTATACCATTAATTAGTTGTATGAATCTTAAAACACTACTGTGGTTGGTTTTGTCTAGTCTTCCGTTGCTTCAAGTACTCCATATCTTTTTTTTTTTTTTTTTTTTTTATATGTGGTTTTTTATTCCAAGTCTTCAAAGACTTTCCTCCATCTCTTTTTTCTCTAAACCCTCCTAAGTTGATGAAGACCTGAGAAGACTTTGAAATATAAACTAAATAAAAATCAAACAAGAAAAAGTTAAAGGCAGCGAAGTGGGCATTTCCTCATGTGAGATATCAAAGCAGAGAAATCATTGTCATTTTTTGCTTTTCTTGCTTGGTATTTCCAAAGTAAAAGATGATAATTTCTTTTTCCACTAGTAGAAAGGTGAACCGCCAAAATTCATATTTCAAGCATGCGTGTTGACAGCATCACTCACCACAACTAAGAAGAAAACTGATGTTACTCTTTTTATCACCATGATTCATGCCATATAGCTCTCATCAAGTGGGTCTCAGTCCCTTGTATAGCTCATCAAGGACTAATTTTATTTCTTTTTCAATTGACCAAATTGTTGTTCCAAATCACAATCCCCACCCTTTTTCGTGTGAGAGATACTCGACTCCACAAAATCGTGGAGAAAAGCGTGCATAAAAAAATTCGTGACAAATTCACATAACTTTATGGTTATAATCGGAATCGTTCAATTACAAATCATTTATGAAAAAAAAAAAAATATATATATATATATATAAATATCATTTAGTTATCGAACTGTATAATATGGTCAGAATTAGTAAAGTATTACGAATCTTCTATCTATTTGCTATAGTTGATTAACTAAACAACCTTAATTTCAATTTGATTTTGTATAGAGATAAATCTTTACATAATGTTTTTTAATATGAACAATTCCGATCATAAGTACGAAGCTCTACGAATCGTCCACGAACTACTTTGAGGAGTTACTCCACAAAGTAGTGGAACCAATTTTCTCTCTTTTTGTTTTACCATTTGATTTTCATAGGAGAAGTCTGTACATGCATTGAGAACAATTATCACACAATATATCATCCGACGTATCATATAATAACATTAGGTAGCTGTGTTCCGAGCCTATGAAAAACTTTCTCGTGTTTAGGGTGAAGCAATCAAGTTGTGGGGTAAGTAGAAAATGTTGTGACTTTTTAGCCAAAATGGTCATTGAGATTTGCAGAACCCCTCACTTTAATCCTTGAGATCTGAAATCAATAAAATTGGTCTTTGAGTTTGTCTACAATCAATCATTTTGATCATTTTATGAAAAATCTCCATAAAATAGGGGTAAAATGACAAAAATATCATTTTTTATCAAATCATTTTGATCTATTGTTTATTAAATTAAGGGTAATTTAGTTATTTGATCCTTATTTAACATAATTTTTCATCTAAGGACTAAAATGATTGATAGTGGATAGTCTCAGAGATCATTTATATTGATTGCAAATCTCAATGATCAAAGTAAAGAGTTATGAAAATCTCAAGATTATTTTTGTTAAAAAAACCAAATGCTGCAGCAGGCTTAACCTCACTGGGATACTTGAGTGCGCCTCAAATGGTCCAGTGTGAGCCGCGAGCGGCAGAGCAATGCCTAACTGACACGTATTTCTCTTGACAGGGACATTTAGGTAAAAATCGAAAAGCGCACAAGCCTTTCCCATCCTATGTTCATATTGTCTTTGTGGGGACACGCACACGCATAACAAAATTGGAGATCACATTTTTTGGGGTAAGAAATATTTATTACCCTCCATTTAATTATTTAATCAGCACTCCTAGCGACAATCGTGAATGGGCGATTCATGACCGTTAATACATTTGAGACCTATATTGTGTCAACATTAAGATTTTCTTACAATCGTATAGACAATTAACTGTAGCATTCTTCAACTTTTAGCAATACCCTAAATTTTGGCATTTTCCACTTTGTCCTTCGAACTTATGCCACTATCCCCAAACCATCGGTTTCAGTTCTGTCACAATTTTACATTAATTCTATCTTGTGCAATGGACGACCAAATGCATCAAGAAAATGCTACTTGGACAAATTTATTAGAAAAAAAAAAAATATTGAGAAGAATTAAAACTTAAAACACCTGCCACAAATTCAAAAGCTTCTATTGTGCACAATGGACCAAGAGTTAACCTTCAACTTGACGAAATAATTGACAGAACTAACTGCAAGCTTGCAAGCAGGACATTGACACAAATTAAAAGTTTAGGAGGCAAAAAGTAGAACAAGGCTATAATTTATGGCTACAACTAAAAAGATCTTATTTCACACAAGAATAGTATCTCATAATTTACGGAAATTTCTTACATGCTACGAGCATTGGATGACTTTGATTGATTTGAATTATTGTTTTTATTGTGATCTCGTGAATACAAGTTATCTAATGTTCGTAGCATTTAATGCACCGATGTGAAGCCCCATAATTAACCACAAAAGCTAGAGTTGGACATGAACCTTAGAATTGCGTTCAAGTAGAGGCTTTTCTGGAATCATTGAACGGACAGAAGTGACCATTTATACACATGAAAGATGCCTTCCAGTTTGGCATCCACACCGAGTGAGACACAAAGGGGAAATAGAAAACGGTTTCTGTGATTTCATCATGCGTTCCAGGTTCCAGCCATACCGACCTCAGTGGGGAAAGTTTTAAAGCAACTGCTGGAAGCAGCTATATAAAGCATCAAGTGTTGCAAAAACAAAATACGAGTCTAGGAAAGTAGTCAACCACTCAGGTCCTTTTGTTATAGTGGCCCTACACTGGATCTTTTACTGTGTGATGGAGTCTGGTGATAACCCACTTAATTAAACACTGATTTGGCTCGGAATATTAATTATAACTCGGTGAGTCGACTAACACTACATGAACAAGATAATAGGAGAAACTCTCTTGTAACCCGTGTCACCATGCAGCACGCATCGTGCACTTATTGAATACATGGATGAACGATGTCATTAGGATTATATTATATTTTGGTTGCAAGAGAGTTTTTTCTTGTATCATGAGGTCTGGTGATAATCGACTCAATATACTTATTTGACGTGTTATCTTATTACTCGGTGAGTCGACTCACACAACAACAAAGAGACAGAAGGATAAATAGATTTTTGCTTTAATCATTGCAGATCTTGCTTAGTACTAATCCTATTCTAAACTACCCATGATGTTTTAATTTATTATTTACTTACCACTTCTTACTCACCAACCATTTCATCCATCCAAATCAAGTGTGTATCCAACATCTATGATTACTTTACCCACTTGGTCATCAACCTATAGTTTAATGCTCCAAAAAAAAGGTGGGGTCCAGAGAAAAACAAGGCATATTTGTAATATTAAGCAATATGAAGGGGGGGATTGTAGCCATCTCCTTTATATACAACCCATCTATATTCCCAAGTCCCAACGCCCCTCACTCACAATACCCAACTTTTCTAAAGCCAAAATTTTTTTCTTACCAAGTTGTGACAAGCAGAAGTATGGGGAATTGCTTGGTTATGCAAGAAAATATAACAAAGATTATGAGATCTGATGGGAAAATCTTAGAGTACAGAGCAGACATGAAAGTTTACCAGGTGTTATCGGAGTTTTCTGGCCATGCAATATCCGAGACAGCTCCAGTCTACCAGCATCTCCGGCCAGACTCCAAGTTGCTTGGTGGTCACCTCTACCATCTCGTACCTCTCCCTCTGCCACCGCCGAAAAAGGCTTCCCAGAAGAAGGTGAGTTTTTCGGAGCCTGAAGCCGAACCTGAACAAGAAACAAAAGTCGTAAGGATTAAGCTGGTTATAAGTAAGCAAGAACTGCAGGAGATGTTGAGAAAGGGAGGAGTTGCAGTTCTTGATGAAATGGTCTCTCGGCTTCAAAGTGAAAAAGGCGTAGAGCAGAGTAATACCAACAGCTTCAACGACGATGGTAACTGTGAAGGGTGGAAACCTGTTCTAGAAAGCATACCTGAAGTAAACTAGCAATAGTATAATCGTTAGTATGTAGAATTGTATACTAATCTCTCCTTTCAAACAAAATGAAATATGAAAGAAGAAAAGAAAACAAGTATCTCTCCGCATGATCGGTTTTCTGTAACATACATATAAAGTAAACAAAGATCCATGAAAAATACAGTTTAGCTTTTCTTTCCCTTCTCACATTTAAGTTCTTAATACAACAATAACAACAAAGCCTTATCCCACTCAATGGGATCGGCTATGAATCCTAAAATATTACTGCGCTCGATTTTGATACAAGTTCTTAATCTGTTCTCTAATTGGTATGTTGCATCCTAATCGTAGAATCTGCACGTCATTCAAAACCTTAGTCTCATGCATCTCTCTAGTACACAAGAATCACAACCAAACCCCAACTAGAAGAAGGAAGAAAGTCTTATTTCACTAAGTGAGGTCGGCTGTATGAATCCTAGAACGCCATTGAGCTCGGTTTTGCACCAAGTCTTCCGTTAGCTCCAAGTACTCCATGTCTTTTCTTAAAGTTTACGTCCCAAGTCTTCTTATGTCTTGATCTACCATTTTGCCCTGAGCCTCTCATAAGTGAAAAAAGAAAAAACAAAACAAAACGTCTAAGAGAAAAAAACACAAAGTTAGTTATAATATAACGGTTCAAACTACAGAAATGAATTTCCAAGAAATTTCATACAACTTGGTGGTAAAGAGGGGAAGAAACTGTCACATCATAACAAATATCAACGCGAGTAAACAGTTTTCTATATCAGGTCGAAATACCAACTAGCATGTAATATGACGAAAGGATGATGTAGCAATACATATGCCTCTATGAGTTGGCCCCTTGAGCCTCCAGCCTCACCTGCCAAATCACAAAAAAGATAGAAAAAAAATACAAAGCATATCTTATGTTATTGGCACGCCAAAATAGTTATCCTACACTCCACCTGAATGAAAAAATGAGGAAGGAGTGCCCTTTTGAAGTGTTAATAACAATTCCCGTTATTGACACGTTATCTTTTCTATACATCCAAATTATTACATTTTTGTGGTGGTGGTGGTGGTGGTGCTAGTGCTCCCATATGAAAGCCTCTTGCAACTTCCCATAATGGAATGATAGAACAAGTCAACTAGCTCTAGTAAAATTGCTTGTGTGTGTGTGTGTGTGTGTGTGTGTGTGTGTGTGTGTGTATCATGGAAGAATGGCTATAGGTTACCTCTACTATACTTCATATACCAAACATGGTGGTTCCGGTAGCACTTCAAAACTGTTTTACTGCTGCTTAGGAGTATTCTTGACCAATCCAACCTCTTATAAGATCTTGTAAGGTTTCTCCTTTTACCGATGTGGGACTCTTTTATCTTCACATCCTCACACGCTCACGTGTAGTGAATTTTCAAGCCAAACATGTGGACAACACAAATTGGGTGATCTAGAGCACGTGGAGCCATTGGGCTTTACACATGGGCCAACTTGCTCTAATACCATAAAGAAAGTTGAGGTTCTACCATAAAACCAATTGGCAAATGGGGAGTAACTCAACCTGTTATAAGACCTTGCAAGGTTTCTCATTTCACCGATGTGGGACTCTTTTACATTCACATCCTCACAATAGATACATAGAGTCCTTGTTGCATCATTCTTACAATCAAGTATGTAACTGAACTCTAGGTAAATGAAAGCCAAAGCACTTTTCATTCAGTAATTATCTACTTGTTGCGTTCAGTAACACATACAAATTACTAAGTAAGACACTCTACAGTCTACAAGAAGAACTAGTTGACCATATAATATTGCAAATTATGCAGAAACTTATTAGCCAAGTTGTCCACTGAAACGGTCTCTATCTACCCTTTATTTCCCATATCAGCTTCTCATAGAACCAACACAGGTCCCTCCTTGTTGATAGGAAACCAGATAAGGAAATAAAAGGTCCTACAGAAAAGCACAAGTACTTTAGATTTCTTTACAGCACATGGTTGTGCTATTGGCATTTCAAGTTTGAATTATAGCTACTCTGTTTCGTCATACTAGGATATGTATTCTTATCTAAACTCTAAAGAACAATAAGGAGGCCATGTTCGATCCCTTTTCGATCCCAGTGGGTAGTCATACATTCAAACTTCACTATAAGCACTATAAAGGCTGAGACTGACTAGGTTGCCATTACTTATTTTGGCTTTCATCATAAAGCACTAGGCACACTGGGAGTAGCTTAGTTTTATATGTTGGTGGGCGCGTGTGATGCAAGCAAGAAACAATGACGTATGCATATCACATTTCAGTTAAACAACTCTCACTTCTTATGCACCAATAAGTATCTCAAGTCAATTAACAGCATTCCCCCTCCATAATCATCTGAATGAACAATGAATTTATATACAGCTGACTATATGCACGCATAAGCAACAACGTGACGAGAATGAATGAAAAGGAATAAAAGAGAACCGGATGAACATATTCAATGGCACCAGAAGAATAGGTGAAGAGAGTAACCAATATACATATCAGAAACTGGTATATCACAAACTTTATGTAGTCCCTATTACTATATTTACATACTGTATGACGTTACATAATATATTTGATTAGCAGATATCCAACTCACTTTAGCTTCTACTTTCTTTACAGGAGAAATGGTGTATAGTCGATAACCACAAGATTGTAAATTTCCGTATAGAAACTACTATTCCTCTTTACTTTCGACTTCCAGACTGATCTCATTACGCCGTTGAAATGGAAGTGTAAATGGTGGATTATACTGCATTCATATTGAAAGGGAAAAGTGTAAATGGCATTTTAAAAGACAATGTGTACATAAAGCACCTTGAAGTTAGATTGTTCTGACATTTTTCTTATTTATAATGCAGTGAAGAACGTACCTGTGCAACTTCCACTGAAGTTCCCTCCTTCACTTGGAACTGTCCATCATTTTTCAGAGCTTCCCTTAGCTTGGATTCTCGTTTCTTAACTTCCTCATTAGTAACAAACCCTGATTTGACATTGCGAGCATAAACTGTCATGATACAGTCGAAAAATCTAGACTAAACAAACCATAAATTACTCTCAGTGAAATTGAAACTGCAATTATTACCACAAGTTTCCTGCAATTAAGTAATACTTAACTAAACTTCAGCTACAATAGCACACCACATGAACTAGATATAACCATGCTTAACAACTAGTGGAATCTCGGACTTGAATGCAATTTACCACATAGAATCATGTACTTTCAATACAATAACCCAAATTCACAAAATATCCACATAGCTGATGATATAAGGAGAAAACAGACCTGAAAAGGCAACAACTGCAACTACTTTCCTAGGGACCTCTTCGATCCTTACAGATGGATCTTTAGGCAATGGCGTATTGGCACCATATTTTGAGGGAATGACAAAGGACATCTGCCATTTATCTTGATCTCCCAGCTAGATACAATTATAGAGAAAGTAGATCGTGAAAAAAGAAGGATAAAGACTAAATATAACATATTGGGAAAGAGGCCAAAATACCAATCCAGACTTACACCACCAAAACATATATTAAAATTAAATATTCAATTCCAAAATGGACTAACTAAATGAGACAACCATGGCCAACTTCATGAGCTAATATTTTGGTCTCGTGAGTTTCTTGCAAAATTTTTGCATGGATAATTATAAGCATTTGAAACTTACACGAAAGAACATGTAATCTCAGCAGAACTTCAGGTATAACATCTTAGTTTGAATCATCAGCAAAATACCCATGGTGCCAGATAACATTAACATAAGATAAGTGCATAAGAGTTACCCTCTTTGTTATCACAGGAGTTGTCATTTCCATTTTCTCCCCATCCGATTGAACTTTACGTGTATAAACCGGTGTGGTCATCTCCATTTTCTCCTTGGTGGTATTCTTAACCGGCATAAGAACAAAGTAAGATAGCCAAACAGGGTTAGATGGATAACAAAATCACATTAAGTGGTTCAATAAACAAAATTATATATTAAAGACCAAACCATTGCGAGAAGGAAAATAAATAAAAACCCCGACAAGAAAAGGGGGAAGAAATTTCAAAGTACCTTACCAAACAGGTATTCAGCTAAGACATTGAAGGATTGAGATGCACCATTGAAATCAAAACCAGTCTTTCCAGGCATTGTTGTCTCTGCTATAATGTAAGGCTGATTCCATACACTCACAATCCCAATTAGTCATTGCTTACATGAGACAGTGAATTACAACTAAACTGAATAATCTCAAGAGGGCGAAAATGGAACCGAAAAAAAATGAAGCTTTTAACAATACCTCAATTTCTCTAATCTCATACTGGTCTCTCCTACTCAGAACTTTGAACTTCACCGTTTCAATGTCCGGAACTACACCAAATATACACCGAAAAATTAATTGAAAATAAATGCCGCATACGTGGTTAGGCCAGTTAGCCAGGGGCAACCTGTTCCCGGCACCCAAGTTCGAATCCCATTCCCGTCTATTAGAGTACTTTAAAATATCGCTTTTTCAAAAAATGCCCAAAAGATTACCTGCCATGAGGGCTTCTTCGAGAGTACGAGCCTCAAACTGTTTGGGGAAGACATATTTTGCAGTCTCCGTGGCCAACTCGAGCAAAACTGCAAGTTAAAGGGCCAAAACGTTGAAACAAAATTGTTACCAGGGATCAAATTTTAAATCTTTGAAAGCTTCGAGTGTGTGTGTGGGAGGAAGTTGATTTGAACATTTACGTTGCTGGGAGAGAGACGACGCTTGAATAGCGAGAGCGGCGACGAGGGAGACTCGGGCTTCTAGGGCGGACATGGTCCTCCTCCGCTGCTGCGGCGGGGAGGGGACTGCGGCGGCTCGGTCCGTCGCCATGGAGACAGTGGTGAGTCGTCTGTAGATGTTAGGGTTTCCGGAGAGGGAAGTGCAGGTTAGGGTTTTGGAAGGGTGCGTGTGAGTGAACGACATTGAAAGCTTTTTTCTTGATTTTTTTGAATTTTCTGTTGCAGAGAGGAAGTGAGAGAGAGAGTAGTGGTTATGATTTTCCCGGGAATGGATGTTACTTTTAATGAAATACCATATTCGACCCTCACTGTAGAGGGATATTGCAGGTACTGACCCTCAGTTTATTTTTTTTTTTTTTTTGCTATTGTGACCTTACATGACGGCGTGAGTTCAAACTATGTTGGTGACTAATCTAACATTTAACTTACTAACGCTATCGCTCAACTCAGTTTAGTCATTTGAATTGGAGATGGAAAACTATTTCTTTAAAAACTATATTTTTAAGGATAATACTTGTCTACTCACAGTGATGAATACTCACATTTTGATTTTGTCCGAAGATAATTTAACACTTATTTTATTGTTTTTTAAAAAATTGACTTCTTGTTTAATTTATTTTTTTTTACTTAAAACAAAGAATATGTGATATCTTTTATTGGGCCAACAATAATATAAATCAAACATAAGACCTCTCAATGAAGATTGAGTTTAGCCTCACAATGGACTAATAATAATGTAAATCGAATATAAGACCTCCCACTTATAAAGTAAAAAGGAATACTACTAGTACCAAGTGACATGTATTGTCCTATTTTGAATGTACTATATTTAAGAGTAGTGGCTAAATATAACACAATCATTGGAGATGGTTAGTAATAAGAGACTTTTCAGTGTGCCGGAAACACGTTATGGTTTACCAAGTGTCAGAATAACTTATTGGATACTTGAAAATTATTTTAACCATTCGCATTAGGATACTTATTATACAAGACCGTGTTTTTTAGCACACTAAAAAATTCATCTTTAGTAACCCTATTTTGACATGATAAACACGTGAGTAAATTGTAGCAATGGTCTCTCAACTTTAATCAAATTGGAGCAATGGTCCCTCAACTCCATTACCATTGGTCCCTCAACTTATCAAAATGTGTAACTATAGTCATTTTCATTAATTTCGTCAAATTTTTGTCAAAATAAGTTATGTTGGAATGACCATTTATACAATCAGGGTCTCTCAACTCATCAAAGTGTGTAATTATGGTTCTTTTCGTCAACTACGTCAAAATTTTTGTCAAAACGAGTTATGTTAGAAGGACCATTGTTACAATTAGGTTAAAGTTAAGGGATATTTCTCCAGTTGAATTAAAGTTGAGAGAGCAATAAATAATGGATTTTTAGTTGAGGGACCATAGCTGCACGTTTTGATGAGTTGAGGGATCAATGGTAATAGATTTTTAGTTGAGGAATCATTGCTCCAATTGAGTTAAAGTTAAGGGACTATAGCTATAATTTACTCTAAACACGCTTATCAACCAAAAAAACTAGTATTTCATGAAAATTGCTTTTTCTCTTGTTTTTTTTTTTTTTTTAGAAGAAACGATAACACTTTATTAAAATAAAAACAAGAATTACAAAATAGTGGATAAGAAATCCACCATGTAGCAAAGCTAGCTAATACCTCTCAAATAGTATCCGCAGATGTAATAACCATAGTTATTCACCCATTTAAGTTTGATGATTACGGTTATAAAGGAGTTATTATAGGTATACAAATGTATAAAATTAAATCGTTTATTTTGTGTAGCGGAGTTAAAGTTTCTCACGATGAGGCCAGGCTGTGCACTCTCAACCCCAATCTGGTAGCTGAAGTAGCAAATTTAGAAAATATTCTTTGGTTTGAGCATCCTACTCGTGTGAAAGATTTAAATTGAAATCTTTTTTAATTTTCTTTAGCAAGACCCACCACCAAAAGATGCAAGTTTTTATTCATATTTTTCCAACAAAAATGAATATTTTACATCTCGTCATTGGATGCAAGTTTTTATTTAAATTTTCCAACAAAAATGAATATTTTACCTCTCGGAGAGATTTCTGGCCAACTAGAAAATACATCTCTCAAGGTTTTTTTGCATCCCATTGGAGATGCATTAATTACTTTATTTTACGAAAAACCTACCTATTAATCCAAAAACTATGTTCTTTCCCATCACTAACAAACATAAAGAAAATTTTCATTTCCTATCCAGTAGGAAAAGCATGGGAAATCATCTCCCATGAATAAACACAGCCTACAAGTAATACATGACAAAGTCTGAGCTTAATTTTATATCTTAAGGCTCCAATCTTGATCTGTATCTTAAGGCTCCAAACTCAGTTTCGGCACATTATCCAGATGCAAATTTTCACTGACCCAAAAAAATAATAGCTCATAACTTACAACGCGGCATTTTTCGAAGTTACAGAGCTGAACTCTCCTATGCAATGAATTTTCAAAATACATAAACCAGAATAACCTAGAAGTCAAAATAGTGCACACATAGAACCGAAACCAGAATAACCTAGATGTCAAAATAGTGCGCACACAGAACCGAAAGATAATAGAAATGCACTAAACAGTCAAGGACTCCTGCTGGGCATGCCAAGCAACGACGTCTTTGTATGACAAGTTGCCTCCAAAAACATCCAAAGCGCTGCCAACAGTAACATCTACGTGTCCCAGTCCTGCCACTTTAATCCTCTCTAAATCAGCCATTACAGTCACACCACCAGCATAAGTTACAGGAATCTGGCACCCAAAAACATAGCCTATAAGTAATTTGAACATGTACAATGCATGAACGTAAGAATTTCAAAATGTCTGCTCCCCATGCCTGATTCTCTACCATAACATGAGTGCAGCATGTAGCCCCAAGCCTTCTGGCTTAATCAGAATAATAAAGTCTCATGCTTGACGGTTTTGTACCAATGGGGCATATGCATTTGAATAACCATTCACTATACAAATGATTTAGATCACAACAATCATGGCTCAGTTCTTTGTCTTTCCAAGGTCACCTATGTGCGGAATAAAATAATATTTCGACTCTGTTCAACTGAACATAAAACAGCCAACAGTAGTCTAAATAGAAATGTGGACTATTTTTTTGATGAAATGATGAGATGGAGCTACATTTCCAGCAACAACCTATGATTTTAAAAACCTGTGCAGTTAGCAAAAGACATAAATGTGCCATTTTATTATAAAGTTACCAACCGGTGAATGCTTTCCAAGCAACGCCACAAGCTCCTCATCAATGCCCAGCCTGCGATAAGCAAATATAAGATTTGTTAGAACTCAACAGATAAACACGTTTGTCTTTTTCAAATATTGGATGTCAGGTTGGGGGTTTGGGGATGGTACTCATACTGATATGCAATTGTAAGCTTTCAACTAGTAATTAACTAAACAAACAAAGTAGCAGACCATCTGGAATTGGCAAATGTGTTATCAGTATAGTTATTCTAAAAATTTATGGCCAAAAATAAACTTTAAATGAAATTATAGCAGAAGCTAAACTCAAAATTGGATCTTCTTTAAACTCGATCCATCAGAAATGGAAGAAAAATAACACATTATTATAAATTAATCCATCCTTTACTTGAATAGTGGATTTGACTCAAAACTCAAAAGTGATATAGTTTATCTGTAAATAGGGGGAAAATTCTTGATATCAGAAAAAGTGTGAATGGGAACAAGAAAGGATATAGGAAAGAAAAAGAAAAGAAAAGCATTTACCAAGAACACGATGCATCAAACTCATGGACCTTTAAAAATTGCATTTCTCAGTTGTCATAACGAGAGCACAGAGAGCTAAAGCCCCAGTTAGATTTCTCAGGCAAGGAGAAATTATTTAATTCCATTATGGAATATCATTTTCCTTTAACTACTAATTATAGTCGAAACCTCTTTTTAAGGCATTAATATTGTAAAATTCGGTTGGACCAGCATATCTCTTGAAGCAATGGAATAAAATGGCAACATATATGACTTACTTTTTCCCTTCAACATCAACACCATGTACTAGAAATTCATCCGCAAAGTTGGCAAGAAAATTTAATATTTCCTCATCAAGATTCACATCACTGAACTTCTGCCATCTATCCGTGACGATTGCATATTTACCATCCTGCACATTAAAGCAATTCATATATGAAAATTAAGACCAACATTTAAAAGCCTAGAAAATAGGTAGTAAAAAATACTTAAGGAAAACATTAAGAATAAGAAAAGCTCTAATAATGATTTGATATTTTTAGTGCTGATATGAAGATTTGCAATTGTCTCTGAAAATTGCTACTCTAGTCAAACACCACCAATATGATCTCAGTTTTCATTAAACTCGGATTACAACGAATCAAATACACATAAAAACTGCTTAAGATGAAAGTACATAAATAACTCTGCTTAGCCTTGAAAAGAAAATAAACAAATAGACAATAACAAAGGAGGTATGGTTCTTCGTTAGCTTCATACCCTCTTTCTGCAGCTAAGGTCTAAAACAAGCCTCTCTTTTCCAACAACAAGAACAAGATCTTTAAGCCTTTCAAGGTCCATTTGTCCATTGTTAAATACATACTACAAAAAAACAAAAAAAAAACCATGCCAAATGTAAAGAAATGATTTCGTGACACAAATTGATCTAAATAAATCTTCTTTAATATATAGGTGTAAAAGGTGGAAAAAACGTGGTAACTTACGGAGGTGACAATGACATGGCTAGCCCCTTCTTCTATGTAACGCAAACAATTTTCTGAATTGATCCCACCTCCTACTTGCAGGCCACCTAGATTATACCAGTCCTCGCAGCAAGGTCAGCAGAGGAAAATCTGTAAGTTCCAAACATATCATCAACGATAGAGATTAAGGTGAAATAGCATACTCCCAAGGCACTCAACCAACTTGAAAATCTCAGTATCTGCAATAATAATTAGACGCCAATGTTTTTGCAGAATTGCTAAGTATCTGAAGCTAAGTAACAATCTTTTGATCTAATTTACACTCATCCAGCCAAACTACTATCTCTTGAACTGCACATCGAGATTCGAAACTGATAGATGAATCAGATAAGAATCACTTCTCTAATATTACCAAAATAATTACTAGACGACTAATTTTAATCATTTGATCCAAAAATCGTTAAATAATATCTAAAACAGCAACAGAAAATACAAGAACAAGAAGGCAGGCAATAGACCCACCAGGATAGGCATGCAAAGCTTCAATGGCTGCAGCTCTACTAAAAGGGTCAGCTCCAAGCATGATCACATGACCACCTGTAAGCCCATCTTCTTTATACATCTTTGCATACTCCGCCGCGGACTTATCCGACACAAAATTGGTAACAAGAACCGACCCATCATCCTTCGAATCCGAAAGGGTAGACCCAACAATCTGCTTCACTTTACCCTGAAGTAAAAATCAAATAACAAACACAGAAATCCCAAAAGAAAGATAATTCAGCTCATCACAAAAACATATATAACCGACTTACAGAAAACCCCAAATGATTCAAAAGAATGAGATTTGATAAACTGAAGTTGCAGTACCTTGTGTATGTCAATGCAAGGCCGGAAGCGAACAGCGCAGCGGATCGAAATCCGCCGGGTGAATCCTGCACCAGATAATGGGAAAATGCGCGTTGAATTACTGTATGAAAAGGGTAAATACCAAAGTAGAAGATGAAACGGAAGCAGAAATATACTTACCGGAGGCCATGGAAGGTCTGGCAGTCAAAATTTTAGGCCTTTTTGCGCCGAAAATTGAAGAGCTCGGAAGCCTGTGAAATGTACGAACGTCGGAAGAGAAAGCGGCATTGAAGGTCTCAACTTTCATTCTGCTTCTGTTTCAGTCCAGGTTGAAGGCTTGAAGCAGAAGAGCGTGACTTGGGTTCCGATATGTACCTAAATGACGGGGTATTTATGTCAAATCACCCTAGGTGGGGTTTTTTTTTTCTTCCTTCAAATTGGTCACCATGTTTTTAATTTTTACAATCCACTCCCGAAATTTTACAACTGCATCAGTTTATAGGAGGGTTTTGCGCATATAAGTTTTTAAGCCATTGTTAATATTAAGAGACTTTTTATATTAGTATCCCACGAAATGTTAAATGCATTCACATTAAAATTTAGTATTAAATGACTTATTTACCCTATTATGCAATGACAATTTGACCTTATTAAGCTTAAAAAAAAAAAAAATCTATATACCCCAAATCACTTTTAATGTATTATTTACCTTCTTCGAGTATCAAAACCCTTCTAACCATCAATTGTTGAACAAAACTCTAACCAATGAAACTACAAACATGTTGATTGAGAAAAAAAATTGATGAATGAAAATAGAAATCGATGTTTCAGAAGCTTCACATGAGATAAGACTTCATATTTTTTATTGTTTTAGTAATTTTGATGACATCGATAATTATTTAATCTTGCTTTTGCTGAGTTATTCAAGCTTCTAAATTTGTAAGATCCCACATCGCCCAGAGAAATGGATCATGTAAACTTTATATGTAAATTTCTATCTCTACCTAGCACGAGACATTTTGGGAGCTCACTGGCTTCGGGTTTCATCGGAACTCCTAAGTTAAGCAAGTAACGCGCGAGAGCAATCCCATAATGGGTGACTCACTACGAAGTTCTCGTGTGAGTTCCCATAAACAAAACCGTGAGGGCATAGTCGGGACCCAAAGGGGACAATATCGTGTCACGATGGAGTCGAGTCAGGATGTGGTGGGAGCCCGGGCGGGGATGTGACAAAATTCGTATTCATCTTTTAGGAATTATATAGATTACATGAAGAATTAAACACCTAAAACTACCATCAAATATTAAAAACTGACAACATGGGTTTTAATGGTAGAATTGAAAACAATCCATATATGCTTTAAATCTCAGGCGGCATCTTTTGTCAAAATTCTAGTATGAAATTTTTGTTCAAATTAAAAGTTTTATAAGATTTGAGAAATGTGGGGGGTGTATAGAAAACGTGGGGAGCATGTAGAAAATGTAAGATGTATATTAAGAATGGGGGTTGTGATGGGGTATTATGGGGAAGTATGTGAGGTATATTAAGATAATTTTAATTGAAAAAATAAATATGGGGTGTATTCAGTATTTGAGGTTTATTCAACAATTTGTGAAATGTTAATATAATAAGTCATATTAAAAACACTTCAAACTTAAACACATGATTACAAGTGAACATTTGAGGTGAATGAAGTTGAACTTTTATTGTAAGAGTAATAAATATCTTTATTAATTAATGAAATCCTTTTTGTTAACCAAAAAGAATGAAAAGACAATTTAGTCTTCTATCACACACAAAAAAAATTATGGGCAATAATGTAATTTCACAAGTCCAAATTTTATTTTATTTTATATTAAAAGCTCATCTACAAGTGATGTTAAAATATCTGTACTATTTAAAATTAAAAAAAAATAAAAAAACAAAAACTCCCCCCACATTCTCTCTCTCTCTCCTTCTCATTTTCTAAAAAATGTGTTTATACACACAAAATATGTAGACAAATGATAGTATAGAAATTAATCGAACTCTTTATAAGGATCATACAATGCAGTGTCCACTTTTCTTTCTGATTGGAGATTCATATAAAAACTTATAGTCGTTAGGGTATTTTTAGTTTAAATATGATTTCCAACAATAAGTTTAGCTTAGGTACTGAGAGAAAAGTCAAGCAAAACATATTCATAAATACTACTATAATTCAAAATAGTTACATGATCGATACTTTATCTTATTGTGTTTTTCTTGACTGGCCAACTTTTTTATGTGGCTGGATGAATCTTTTCATATGTTTCATACTTTTGTTGTATATGCATATGATAAACAATAAATTCACACGATAAATATATATATTTTTTTAAATACATCGATATTTTTACACTAAAAAAAAAAGAATTCAATTATGTTACACGACAAACATAATTAAAGATGAAAAAGTTGCACCAATGGCTATATTTTCTATTTCATTTTTCAGTAATGACAGTTTTTAATAAAAATTTTCCGAATTAATATTTGTCTATTTTATTTTATTTTGGTTGGTGAAACTCGATAAGAGTCCAGCAGGTTCAATTCGAAGCTCTGCAATTCTGAGCCACTCGCCAAGAGTTCCATGGCCACAACAACTTAGCAAAAACCCACACAACTTCCAAACCAAAATTCAATCCGTCAATGGCGTCGATTGCCACCTGCTTCACGCTTCCGCAGAAGCCCCACTGTCCTCGCCGTCGCATCTTCAAATCCTCACTCCTCCCGAACCCTCCCAGAACCTTCCGTCTCCACCCGACGCCAGTTTTCCCGGGATTTGGCGCCAAGTTTCGGGAATCTAGGGGTTTGGTGTCGGCGGTGAAGTCGAGCCTCGACGCCGCCAGCGCTGCAATCAGGCCCGGCGGAGCTGTGGAGAGCGATAAGTTGCCTTCGGATGTGAGGAAGCGAGCGATGGAAGCTGTGGACGCTTGTGGAGGGAGAGTGACGATTGGTGACGTGGCTGGCCGGGCTGGGCTCAAGCTTAACGAAGCTCAGAACGCTCTGCAAGCTCTCGCTGCTGACACTGAAGGATTCTTGGAGGTAGTTATTTTCAAAACAGTTTAGAAGTTGGAGTTGTTTCGAAAATGTTTGTGAAGCAAATGAATGGCGTGTGTAGCATTGTTTAGTTATTTTCAAAAATTTATGAACTTGTAGTTGTTTTTTAAAATGTTTGCGAAGAAAATGATGGGGGTTGTAGGTTTGTTTAGTTATTTTTTCGTTTGTGGGTGAGTGCAATTGTTCTTTTCAAGATGGTCCCAACAGGTTTCGGATGAAGGCGACGTGCTCTACGTTTTCCCCAAGGATTATCGGGCGAAGCTTTTGGGAAAATCGCTTAGAATGAGAGTTGAGCCTGTGCTTGAGAAGGCAAAGGTAGTAACTTTGTGGAATTTTTGGCTATAATGTTTGGCAATTGGAACTAACATAATGCGTTTTTGCAGGCTGGGGTTGAGTATGTAGCAAGGGTTTCGTTTGGAACTGCCCTAATTGCTTCCATTGTTCTTGTTTATACTGCAATTGTTGTTGCTCTGTCTTCTGGTAGAAGGTAAGTTTCCTGGGTAAATATTATTATCTTATTGTTAAATGTCTTCTTTATGGGCAGAACGGTTGACACTAGTATTTTGGTTACAGTGAAGATGACAATCGTGGAAGACGTGGAGGAAGGTCGTATGATTCAGGGTTCACTTTTTACATGAATCCCGGTGACCTCTTTTGGTAATACCTTCTTCTATACTTCCTTGTTAAGTACGTTTTTCATAATACCGTGGGGTGGTTTCAGATTTAGTTATTTTAGTTGTTGGAACTTGTAAGAGACTTTTGCTCACACCTTGTTTACTATTTATTTCATTAAGGTACTGGGATCCATATTACTATAGGAGGCGACGAGTACAAACAGAACGAGTACAAACAGATGATAACAAGATGAATTTCGTTGAATCCGTATGTGATGGATTTAATCATTCTTTTTCTATTGTCTCTTTGCTAGTTTTGTATTTGAAATTTTGAAGAAGAAAGTATTGACGTTATGATGTTGTCTTTTAGATTTTCTCATTTGTATTTGGTGATGGTGATCCGAACCAAGGAATCGAAGAAGAGAGATGGAAGTTGGTAATAATCGAGCACTGAGTTCAGTGGTTCGTTGCTTTCAACAATTTGTTTCATTTCATTGGTTGTGTTTGTATGCTTTATATGCAATTAGATTTCTGTCTTGTCAGAGTAAACTAGCATATAGGGGTATTTATAACTCTCTCTCTTCCCCCCCCCCCCCTTCTCTCTCTCTTTCTCTCTCTCAATCAAGCTACATTCACATAGTACCCCCTCTTAAAATCTTGCAAAGACCTTTTAGGCTTGACTTTGAAATAGGATATAGTAGTTTGAAAGAATATACAGGAGTTTACGGCTTTTGTTGAGGTCAAATACAGGAGTTTACGACTTTAATCATCATTTAAAGCATTATATTTATTTAACAACAATCTCTTTCCTGTGTATATGTAAAATCCAAAACAAGAAAGAAAAAAGGGAATTGTTAAGTTAAAGTACTGCGCCGAATTCATCTATGACTTCAGTTGGTAAAAATGTGGAAGTTGTAGAAATGGGGATTGTGTAATTGGTGGATAGCTTTTTGACTAGATCAAAACATAAGAACTGCGCTGGTCTTGTGCTTGGGAATTGTCATGATTGTTTTGAAACTGTTGTTACATCCCCAAGGCTATATATAAACTATATGATGTGATGTGACATTGGAAAATGTAAGATTTTCACAAATACTGAAGGTAATTGGGGATCCTCTCTCAGAAACTGTCGTCCACCTATGGTATAGTCCTCGAACTTCCTTAGTTGTGTGACTCTTCGTGTTATTCCTAAAGTTTAATAGTCTGTTGCTACTTATTATCTTGGAATTGTTTTTTTTTTCGTCAGTTAAAAAATTATGACAGATATGTATAAAAGTATAATGACAAAATTATCACTTGAATTGTAAATGCAGATCGGACAATACATATCCTCTAAAGGTGGTGTTGTTGCAGCTGAAGAACTTGCTCCATATCTTGATATAGAATCTTCGGGGGATACTCTGGTAAATATATATATTTTTTCTGTTGTCATGTCCGTTTGAGTTTCCAAACTCTTGTAATGGAGTTTTTCTTGTATTTGGAGAATTTGTAGATGAGATTATTTATGGTTAATAGTAAGCACTTGCATCCATGGTTAGTTAATTTAACACATCAGAATATTGGAGAAGTTCAGCATGCATTGCATTGTATCCGTGCTGAAGTAAAAGTATTAAGCACTTTCATCTGTAAAGTCAAATCACATTTGCATAATTCCTCATAAGAGATTCAAACAAAAATTGTTCAAGTAAATGGTGCTTCAAAACTTCATACTCAATAATGTAGATAATCGCGATCTTCTATTTGTTTCTTTATAAATGAAAAAGCTTCCAAACAACTGTCGAGCTCACCTATTTTGCTTTTTGTGTGGTTTGGCTTTTTATTGAGCACTTCAGTCAGTTCAAACTCTACATGGCCTTGAAGTTTTCAGTTTCTTTTACTATATTCAGCATTTTCCTTCTAAATTTTTATTATGCTGCTTGACATTTTTTTTACTTTCTGTTAATTTCAGAATGATGAAACATACATTTTACCTGTTCTGTTAAGGTATGAGGGTCAGCCTATCATAGATGAAGAGGTATGTTTAACGTTGATGTTTTTAAATAAATGGCTTCTATTTTGTCTTCTTTCTCCATATACATAGGGGTGGCAATCGACCGATCCAAACCATATTGGTCGGCTTGGTTTGGTTTAGACCAAGAAAAAAGTCAAACAATTTAAAAACCGAACCGAACCAATTTATTTTTTATTTGGTTCGACCAAAACCAAACTGAATCGACCATGTATCTTTTAATTATTAATTCATTTTCCACATCTCAATGTATTAGGGTATTTGAGGCCTTACGATATACATATTATAAGTCTCAGTATATTATAAGTTGTAATGACTATTAACAATTAGGAGATGTATATGTATTTTATGCTTATATGAGGTTGGAATTAGTAAATCGTTTGCTAGCATGAGTTTTTATTTAATTGAAACTTAGTTCTATTTGACTTGATGAACTTTTTATGTTCCAATAAACTTAGTTCTAGTTGTAATAAAACGTTCAACATTTCAAGAGTTTTAATCTTCTAAACATCCATACATCTCACCCATTCCAATTCAGTTGAAAAATAGAACTTCATATAAGATTAAAACTCATGCTATTAGGTTATTTGAGGTTGGAAAATAAATACAACCTCATATAAGATCAAAAAATTCAATTGGAATGGGTGAGATGTATGGATGTTTAGAAGATTAAAACTCTTGAAATGTTGAACATTTTTTATTTATGTGTTGGATAGGCTTGAAACGATCAAACCAATAACAATGGTTTGGTTTGGTTTCAATGGTGGTATTTGTCAAAACCGAACCGTTGAAATCTAGTTGGTTCGGTTATATTTTTGGTGTCAAACCGAATCAAAACTGATCGGTGCCCGCCCCTGCATATACATATAGAAATGAGAACAGTTGGACAAATAAGGTTCTGTTTCCCGTGGCCTGGTACATGCTTGCAAATTGTGAAATCGTTCTGTTTCTATATTGGATTTCATTACATAGATGAAACGATATAATATTACATTGTCATTCATAAAAAAATTGGTTATGATGCAGGGAAACATTCTGTACCGGTTTCCATCTCTACAGCGCACAGCATCTTCTCAGATGAGTGGAAGGAAGGAATATGTGGGGAGAAGATGGGCTGATTTTGTTGGAGGTGTTGACAAATTTTTCCAGGAGAAGAAGTGGCAATTCAGGTCATTTATTATGTTTGCTGCTGCCGATTATGTTGTGAATTCATCTGGAATTTAAAATGAAACAATCAAGTTTTCTGTGTTTGCAGTAACACTAGCATTTCTGAGAGAGCAATGGTTGCTGGACTTGGTGGACTAAATTTATTTGGGGTTATCATTCTTGGAACCATCTTAAAGTATGTATGACTAGAACTTTGTAATCGCTTGGTTGTTTTTACTCTATATTGCTCTGATGCCCACCGCTTTCTTATTTGAAGGGATACTACAACTGCACCAGCTGGTTTTATTGAGTTTATTAATAGCATATTTCCACTACTTCAGGTATGATTTGATTTCAAACAAAATAAAGTTCCCTACCTGCAATCAAGAATTCGTTCTTTTTTGTTAAATGGTTGGGTTCACACGCAATCCTTCTCTTGAATAGTGGATAGGGATCCCTCTTATGAAGCTCTCCCTATATGAAGACTTGATTAAATCCTCAGGCACTATTGAGTTGGATTTTATCTTGCCTCACAATTATTTTGCAGATTTATGCTGGTTCTTTCTTTGCAATTCCTTTGTTCCGGTGGTTCCTCCTGCTTAAGACAAACGCTGACATAGAAAAAAGAAATAAAGCAAGACAGCAGTTTGCTCGATCCCTTGAATTGCCAGATATCTCACTTAGAAGAAAGGTAAATTGGTGCTTCTCTAGATTGTCTTGATTAATGGTTTCTATCTCAAACTTCACATGTGTGCTTTGCCATTATTTAAATTTGTACTCGCGGTCTCGCACACTAGTTTGTAGGGGATAGGTATCAGATCTATAAATGAAATTTCACCTAGTGCTGATCAAGCTCTCCCTCCCTCCTGCTCTTAATGCATAAGGCCTATACTTGCTTGAGGAAGACAAACTCTCAATGATTGCGTTACCATTGAAAACATACCAATCTTCTTAACTCAAAATTAAGTTGAACATACTAGTGCAGCAATGCTGCATTTGTTAAATTTTGTTAGATACGAAGTTTCAAACTAAAAAATAGCGGTGGTTTTCTTCACTTAAACGCTCACATGAGTTTGTCTTAGGGTGCAAGGTGTAGGATTTTTCATATGGTAACCATGTACTTGATGTAAAGACAACTGAAATAAAGAAAAAGGAACAAAGAACGGAAACTAGATGAACTCTGTTCCTTCAATGATTAAAACAATATTTAGTTATATATTTTCTGTATGATGTTTCAGCTCCTCAGTGCTCGGGAAATGGCCCAAAAAACATTCATAGGGCAGGATAGAATTGTTTATAGCACGGACAAGGATTTGGTTGAGCAAGACTATGAAGCCCAAGAATGGGATAAGAGGTTTCGAGAAATCGAAAAGTCAGATTGAGAAGAGGCTACTGTTACATGGTAAGTATATACATTTCTTGCCTTGGATGAAAATGCTATTTGCATTTGAAAATTGAGTGCATTTGGTATATTTATCAGTTGCATGACTCCTTTTGGTAGTCTACGGATCAAAAGAGCAGATGTTCTAGGTTTATTTTTATTTGACGTATGTCTACTTGTTCAAGAACTTGAAACACGGTTCTCTAAAACAAACAGTTATTAGGTCAGGATTCAAGAACGCAAGGGTTACTAAGTTACAGTGAATCTCGTCAAATTATTATTATTATTTTTTTTCACATGCTGATTAGGCAATTATATTTTTTGTTACAGGGAGAGCTACTAGCGGTCTTCCTCAAGAATATTAGCGCTTCAAGCTGTCGATCGGCAAGCTTACGCACCCTTGGTGGTATTAGCATTTGTTTGAAGTGTACATTGACATTCTGGAGTTCTGGTGGGGTGCAACTGGGAAGAAAGTACGAAACCTTGTAATATAGATCTCAGGTGGACAACAAAACTATTTTACACACGAAAGAATTTATGGATCACGAGGCTCACGTATATGTTTCTGCATCCCCTTGTGTCTGGAATTTGCAGAATCGTACACAAGTAGCTTTCCGTGGCCGTGAAAGTCACCTGAGAGGGAAAAAGAGGGGCCGATGCTGGCTTCTCACTTGTTAACTTCGTCGAATGAACTAATAGAATACTGAGTGTTAGAAACAAGCGCATCATAGTTGAGAATCTTCTGTTCATCTCGGGATTGTTTCTGCTAATACTGTTTCGCATAGTTATTACAACACTCGATATCCAGGAAACTTGAATAATTAAGAATCCGCTGTTCATCTCGGGTTTCGTTTTCTTTTGTTCTGAGACGTATTTATACTGTTTTTGCACCAGTTGTTATTACGACACTGGATATACAGGAAACTTGAATAATTGAGAATCACGATAGCAATGTTTTTGCACCAGTTGTTATTACGACACTTGATATACAGGAAACTTGAATAATTGAGAATCGCTATAGCAATGTTATACTATTTCGCGACTATCAATTTTCCTCCAGATCAAGTATTGAAGCGGATCTACCACACCAATCAAAATGTAGCATAGCATGAATTCCGGTTATGGTGACCGGAAAACAATGGATCGACCCCAGTTGACCCCGTTCTGACCAAATACGACATAATAACTCAAGTAAAACACAAATTTACACACTGCTGAAACCAACCCACTATTGACTGGTTCCAACGGCTCCATTCTTGACATAACAATCATGCAGACTGGTAGCAGAATCGACGATCACAAAACCAATACATCTTACAGTCTGAAATCTCGAGTAATGACGCGATGCCCAATGGTGCACAATTGCTCCAGGTTTGAATAGTGTTTGCATCCGACCATGATAAGCGGGTCAGATGGCGAAAAAGCAGTTCTTCCCACGTTAAAAAGTCTTGAGAAAACCCTTTGCAGATACAGATTGTAGAGTGTACCCAAACCACGAATGTCTTTAAACAAGCTCGGAAACCAGTGTGCCTGAGTGATGAGCAGAGTTAAAAAGAAAGCACAGATGAAACTATACTAATATCGACAATTTCAAAGGGGAAATAACGACATGTATGGATTTCCTATGTAGTTTCCGTCCCAATCAAATTAAAACGAGAGTAATTTCAATCAATCACATAGTTTGAACGACAGCTAAATGCAGTTAATAAAAAGAAACAAACATGCACTGCAGACAATATTACTAAGTAATCTGTCCTCACCTAAAATAATGAGCGTAAGTAGTATTATCAATACCATGGGAATAGAATGCCGCTGAACTTGAATGTGACGAGGTGATCTTTCATATCTTGCCCTAAATACACCAAGCCAGGTCCGTAAGTACATAACTTTTGTCCGGATCCCCATATACAACCACGTCCCCTGATGCTGAACCTGTCAAGGACAAGCAAACCCATAAGCATCTAGGCTGAAACATAGAAAGCCAAACCAAGTTTTCCACAATGAAATGATTCAGGATACAGAGTGGAATCAGATATAATCACACAACAATCCTTTTGGAACACTGAAAATTTGATAGAACTTACAAGTATTCCCTTCTTTGATCTCAAGTCACAGCTAATTACTAAGAAGAATATGAACTAATGAACATGCAATACTTAACGGAATTGGAAAATTCAAGAATCGTCTTAATTATCCAAGAAAGAAAACATGATGCTTGAATTACAGATTTAAGAGTAAATAGAAGAGTTGTGAATGGTTAAAAGTTTCGGATTTCTGATTGCCAAATTACCTGGGCGCCATGAGAAACATCAGCGATTGATGGGGAATGACTTTGTTCTTCTCCATCTTTAAATCTCTTTGTATAGCTCCCAGTGACCCTACTCCCATACACACTCCATGCAGTATTCAAGAACCCCAATACGTTTGTTCTGCTGAAGCTTTCAGGTTTGGCTTCATTAGCTTCCATATCTGTTACAAGAGGTCTGTGGAAAAGAATCTGTAAAATCAGATTTCAACCTTGTATTGCCAATGTCCCAACTCCCACCTTCACCGAATCTGTTATAGAACCAACTTTCCCCAAGTTGTTCTCCTTTCTAGATTCAATAACACGGTCCACATGCACCACTCCATTCGTATTCAAGTCCTCAATTTCTCTGCTTTTTGCGCTCAACGATACCAGAAGTACTGTCTTTAGCACTAGATGTGGTTGGATCAAGAAATCTTCTCAAGATACTGCTGTCCTTCCACTTCTTGACCATCAGTGGGCTCGGCGTTATTTCCCCCAGAAAGAAACAATGCCAAACCATCTCTATCTTGTTCATTCAAGTTAACCCATTCTGTATTTCGCAGGGGATCCCCTATCGGTGTTCCCTCCAAGCTCTTCTCCACATAAAGTATTTGTTCCCTCATGGCTCCGATAAACTGCTTGTGCCTTGGAATTACATCCTCCCGATTTTGAGACCTGCCTGCCACCGCTCTTTCAAAGTCCTCCAACTGGCAGGAGAGAATCACTAAAAACCTAACTAAGCAGAAAATAAAGAAAATGAAAGAAAGAAAGAGTTGACATGTACAAAGATTACCACCTGCCACTTTGCCGTTTCAAGTGTAGTAGCAAGATCGCGTTTGCGATAATCTATTGATACATGTAACTTTGGGTCTGGACGGTCACCTTGAACAAGACTGAGCTCATGCAGCAGAGAGCGCAAAACCGATTCCATCCTAAAATTTAAAACATCAAAACAAAATGAGCACTGGTTTCAGGGAATGCACAACTCATAAGCAACTCAACATAATAAAAACACAGAACAGCAAATACAATAAGCAATCCACACAAAAAAAAAAAAAAAAAAAAAAAAAGGTTCCTTACGTTTATACAACAATGAATTATCAATCTGTAAGCTCCTTTATTTTTCGAAAAAGCGAAATATTGAAGAAAGTAAAAATGGGCGGGTTTACAGTTTATTCGTTACTGGCATTTCTCGAAAGTTGATGTTTCGGACTGTCAAAGTTTCAAAGAGACGGGCCAAATGGTCCAACACCAATATTGTCCCCAACTTAACCACCTGCTAGCCCAGCAAGAGTGGGGTTTTATCCTAAAAGCCTCGGTTCTTCTGTTAAACTCCTGATGTGAGATTTCCAACACACTCCCTCACGTGAGACCATATCTATAGCGGACTTCCACATTGGGAAAGGAAAGACAAGCACATGAATACTACGCACAAGAAAAATCAGCTTTGATGAATATGAAGTCCCATTTGTGATAGACAACATCATTCCCAAACCAAACAAAGATCTTCAACAAAAAAATAAATTCAGATGCCAACATTCTAACACAGCTCAGAAATCAAGTTCATCAAATTAAGCAGTTCAAAAATAATACTATTCACCTTTTTTTATTAACTTTCTTCTCAGCCCAAAAATCAAGTCAAAGTTTTTGCCTTTCTTTCCCCAAAAGCAAGAAAAGCACTTCCAAATTTCCAATACATATTAAAATTAAAAAAGAAGGCGAAAAGGGAGGAGAAATTAACCTGTCAGCGGAATCTTGGACGACTTCGGCTGCAGAAAACAGAGGGTCTGACTCCCATTGGTGCAAGCTCGACGCCATTTTTATTTATTTTCTATTTGTTTTGTTTTCTACGTTCACCATCAAATAGAAAAGTTGCAATATTTATTCATATAAAAAAAAAATTAGTTTCAAATGTCGATTTGGAAATTGGGCTTTTAGGGTTTAGGGTTACAGAGATGCCGGAAACGGAGGGGAAAGGTGTTCGTTAAAATGTCTAAACGACAAATTTTTTGGTGCGGAGAGTAGGAATTGCACGTGGAGGCGACCACAGTGTCATGATTCGACGTACCAATCAGCTTCCACCACGTCATTATCTATTATTGAGCATTTGAAATTTGGAAAGGAGTGCTGATCTAAAAATTTTATCTTGCAATTCTCACAAATCTCAAAATTTAAACTAAGTTGGCTAACATTACCACTACTTTAGAATAGTGAGAGAAAAATGTACTTTTAAATTTGATTTCTACAACTATTGAGTTTTTATTTTAATTTCAGCCATATTTTTCATACTACTCAATACTACGTATTATTAATGAAAAATTAGTTACTAAGTTCCAAAAATATTTTTCTTTTTACTTATAAGGAGTCATGATTCCTACAGGCAAATTGATCTTGATATGTGAATGGAAATATTTCTTTTTGTAGTTCTAATGAGATATATTTTAGTACATGTATCAAATTGTAATTTAAGTTTAATGAGGTATAAGAAGCCAAACAATGTTGTTGAATGTACTATAATGTATAGACGAGTTTGTGTTAAGCGTTATTAATTGAGTGGTTCATCGAGGCGTCAATAGTTATTAGTTGTTCACATGCACACCGAAGAGCTAGCATTATGAATGCACAATAGTTGGTTTGGACATGTTTGTCCATATATTATGGAATAGTTTATAGTTTAACCTTTGTTTTTGTTGATAATATTTAGCTCCTTACACGTAAAAAATTATAAAAAAAAAAAAAGGAAAAGAAAAACATAATTAGGTTAAGGCTTTTTATCCAAAATGATCATTGAGATTTGCATAACACATCATTTTGGTCCCTAAGATTGAAAATCAATAGAAATTGTCTCTAAGATTGTCCACCATCCATTATTTTGGTCATTCCGTTAAAAACTTCGTTAAGTGTCCCGGAACTTTTAGTCGAAAGTTTGGGCAATTTTCAAAGCTTCGTAACTCAATCGTTTCTTAACCAAATTCAACCCATAATATACCAAAATAAAGAAAAGAAAGTGTAGAACAAGATTATAGCCATTTGGAAGACCAATGATTGCCGAAGATGGCCGGAAAATAGCCTGAAAGGTGACTGGTCCGCCGGAAAACTGGAAAACTCGCAGGAAACTGGGTAAACTTTGAACATTCATAACTTCTTCAATACTCAACGAAATCGAGTGATTCAAAAAAGAAAATCATACTTCTCGACGAGATGAAGAGAATGGTACCTTTCTTGAAGGCTAACTCGCCATTGTTTGGCCGCAAAATGGCTCAAAAGTGGCTGTCTTGGTCACAATCTCAAGGGCCATTTCTATTGATTTTCAATCTCAGGAACCAAAGTTATGTATTATGCAAATCTCAGGGACCATTTTGGCTAAAAAGCCGTTTAATGCATGTTTATACAAGTAGTCGATGTGTAAGATGGAACGACTCATTGTCTATAAGAAGCCAAGCAGTGTTCTTCCACTAAACCTTGTTTCCTTCCAAGTCCAAAACAGCTACTCACCAGCCCACCTGTTGCAGTTTCATAGCAGTATGGAGAGTGCTTTCAAATTTGAAATGGCAGTAATATCATATGAGCTCGTTTAGTGACTAAAATTAGAATATAGTGGATAACTCATACAAAAAGAAAAAATAAAAAAGAAGCTTGTATGTTAAAGGTAGAGGTGAATAATTTTTTTCATTTGCAGGATTAAGCATGAATGAAACTAAACCCTTCTAATCCTACCATTACGCGGGGATTCAAGGGGAAAAGTTCCCTCAATGAATTATCCATCTTCTACCTTCAAATCGGACACAGTTTCCTCATTCTTTCATTGAACATACCTTTCACACATAGAATTATCTACGCCAATCCAATCTTAGTCACCAGACGAGCCCTATGGAAATTGACAGTATTTTCTTCTGCATGCCAAGGATATAATATTGTCGTGGCAAACAAAAGATGGTTTCGAACAGTCTTTAACTTCTAAGTACGGCTGAAAAAAAAGGGATTGTCCTAATTAACTGGGCAGATTTCACTTCTAAGCACTACATAAAACTCCCGATCGAAATTTCAAAGTTGTCATGGCAAGGATTAAATTATGACGGATGAAATATTTCCTCCGAAACTTGTTTATTTAGAACTGGAACACTGACAGTAGAGTTTATACAGCACAAGCGAAAAGAAACAAAAGCAAGAAGCCAACTTACAAGGAATTAAGAATGCTTCTCATATGAAGTACTTCACCATCTGAATTTCCTTCTGCTTGTAGCCACATTTCTCATAGAACGCTTTGTTCTCAACGCTGCAATCGAGAATCACCCTATAACACCCCATCGAATGAGCATAATCCGTAAGGGCGTTAATAATCTTCTTCCCTAACTGCATCCCACGCGCATTGGCATCAACCACAATGTCTTCAATGTGCCCGACTTTGCCACAGTTTCTTATAAACTTCCTCTCAATGAACACACTCCCAGTTGCCACAATCTTCCCGGAGCGATCTTCTATTACAAAGACCTGATGGTTCTCTGCTCGGGTGCTAAGCTCCTTAAATCGATCTTCAAAGTCCTTATCGGATACAGAATCACAAATGGTCAGTTGTTGCAGCAGTTCTATGAATCCCTTGCCTCTGTCTGAGAGTTCTAGTTTTCTAACTTGGGAATTTTTGTTCTTCGCTGTTTGCCATCTTCTACTCGTTACAAGATGTTAATGAAGTTGGAAATGAGTTTCATCCCATCACAATTGTTAAGTTTAACGAAGTGATTTACACTAGTTTGTTCATTTCTGCCCCTCGATTCTCCTTCGATTTACTCAACCCAAATACAAGAGAAAAACGAAGGAGCATAGCAGGGAAGAAAATGGGTGTGCAGAAATCACTTCCCTAAAGTTTGTTCCAACAACCAATGACACTTCTTTTGACAACCACACAATAAAGTAGAGTGGATGTACATTACAACGTTACCAATTGGCACTAGAGTGGGAGGTCTCAGATTCAACTCTCCACACGACGGCAAACTAATATTGCATACTCATTTATGCGACTTAGACCAAATCCCTCATATCATAGTAGCAAAACAGAAGAAAGGGCCGAATTTGAGTCTCTTGTTTTGGTTTTTGTATTTTGCATTTTACATGTTTGTCTTATGGCTTCAAGTTTAGACGAGTGCACTTGCCAGATTTCTTTCTTTCAATTCATGGTGAAACAAAAGGTTTGCAAAAGTGATTTTGTGGACTCCCTACAAAGACAGCTTAAGATGCGTTTATCCCACAAGTGAATCCAGATATGGTATCTACATTGTTAACAAGGGAATATTATCAGGCTAGATCATCGCCAATCGTTCAAAGTGCATTTCGAGCATTAGAACATGAAATCACACTTCATGTCAGAATTCATCGTCAGACAAGACCCCGACAGGACTCAGTTGAACAAACGGGAACCCAACCTAAAGCAACCTTTCATCCAGATTCATCGTCGACGTCCCCATTACAACTGGGTCCATTACGATGAAAGGATTATGGCTTCGGAATACAGGTGAAGAAAAGAAACAAGCATATTCTGAAACCCTAATTCTTTCATCCCAATTGTAACCTTTCACCATCCACTAGACATTAGAGAAAAAGACTTTCCTTCAAAATTTTCCAAAAGCATTCATCTAAAACAACAGAGTACTAATTGTAGTTTAACGACGAAATCAAAGTTAATGAAAACAAAATAGAACACTGAAACATATGCAATAAATGTCTTAGAAAAAAGTTTGCCGATGCTTCCTTTACTTGGAAAGTCTCTGATAAGATTACGAACTTAGTAAATACGGATAGCTTTCCCCATTGTACTCTTCAAGTTCAAAGACCTCACCTATTTGATCATACAAACAAAAGGACAGCATAAGTACAATTAAAAGTGCAACGAGATAAATCATGCATCAAGTGATTTCAAGTAGAATTCAAGACTTTAAAAGCCAATCCAATCTTAGTTTCAGACCAAATCACAATTTACAGCTCATATGCTCGAGTAAATGAAATAAAACAACTATCAGCGTTAATATTGAATAAAATATAGTACCGCAAACGATTCAATATCAGATTTAATAGCAACAAACATTAGTTCAACAGGACCAATGAAATAAGCATTTAAAGTTTGTTATATATAAATTGAAAGCCAAAACTTTAGGACAGACGGTATAATTCAAAAACCCAAATGATATAAGGAGGATGAAGCCAATAACTTACATTCTGCCAATTCTTCTTCAACAGCGAAACTAAGAAATTGACACTGAGTTGCACATTCTGGAAAATCTGCTTCTCCTCCATAGCAAGATTGCCGACAGCAACACCCATGCAAAGAACCTTCTTAAGTTGGAACTTCACCATAGCTTTGGTCTCGTTAAGTTTTGCCTCCAGAGATTCCTGATGACTCACCAAGGTTGGGAACTTACCTGCAAGTTGTACACAAAGCTAGAGTTAGTGTTAGCTGCCACTTCAATAAATCAAAATGTCCAACAACGAGAATACAGAATAGCTAATAATCAGGAATACTTGCCTGCCTTGTTAAGACCAGGGCCAAGAAGACGAGGAATCTGCTTAATGACAGCTTCAGAAGCCAAAAATGCATGGTATTTCTTGGCAAGCTTCTTAACAAGTTTCTTGTTCTTGTTAAGCTTTTTCAAGCTCTCAACGTCCATATAGTCCAAACCCATCTTCTCTGCCTGTGGTAAAAGCATAGGATACACAGATTTAGCTTCAACTCTATCACAAATGCATCCAGAGTCAACAAATTCATAAACAGTTCAAGATTGTGTCAACTTACCTCTTCAACATGCTGAGCATCTCCAAGCATGCAAACCCTCATCTTAGGGCGAGGGATATGTGGAAGCCTGACAGAACCGCTGAAACGCTTGTCCTTTTGTGGGTCATAGTTCTTCAGACCAATCTGAAGCTCAACCGTCTCAGTGAACTTCCTCTTCTTTGTCTCAGAATTTGTCTTAATCTGAGAAATGGCCTCCCTCAGCCCATCACTTGAAAGCTTACTGTTTTAACAAAGACGGTAAAATCACGAACTTTAGGTAACACGACCAATGTAAAATAATCCGATACAGGTTCTTGACCCCTACGATAGAGCTAGGGAACATATTTCACATTTATCAATTTCAGATACGTAATACAATCAATGGTACAAGACATGAATGTAAATTAACTCTAAATCATCTAAAGAATTAGACTATCAGTGGCATTTTCGCCCACCGCCACCCGAAAAAATATAAATTAAAAAACCCCCCAAAAACAAGTAATCAAAGCACACGCCTTTTTTCTGTAAAAGCAATATCAGATATTCCCCCAGTCAATAACAGATTCAGGAGTATTAAATCCCTAACCACAATTTCTAGCCAGTAAACTTCGCAAAACCAGATTAAAACAAATAAACAGCAAGGGATTCAAGCAACATGCTAAAACATGAACAAAAATTTGGGATTTTGGTTTCCAAAAATTCAATTAAAATCCAAATCGATCAATAACCCAAAACTAGTTACAATCTGATGAACAAATAACGGGAGGAGAAAATGAAATTACCTCATGGTTAGTTAGATCTTTGTCCTCGCTGCGAAAAAACTTCCTACAAAATCAGAATAATGAAGCGAAAATTTTAGCGAGGCCGAAATACAGAATGCACAGAATGTTGAGATGAGAAAACCATAGTGGCGGCGGAGGCTACCTGAAGAAGGAAACCCTAGAACTGGAGTTCTGGACTGCCGCGCTAAATGGTGAAGAGACTTTGGGGCTTTTATAAAACCCTAGCTGCTCGCTACGCTTTTGTCTATTTTTGATATTTTCCTTCGAATCCCTATACTTCTAAGTTTTATCTTTGTACGCTGACTTTTACTTATTTCCATCAACACCCCACGATATTTAACTTGTATCACACTTAAGTCCTTGAAATTTAAATTTTATTATTGTTAAAAGTCAATTAAAATTATTAACGTGACTGTTTGAACCCAATGTTAAACAATTGATCCCGTGCAATTTAGGTCGTTGAACAAACGGAGGACATAGATCATCGATTGAGGATTTGATGAAATTTTACGGATAAAAGTAAAATCCTAGATATTACAGTTTGTTCAGGGACTTTTAGGCTGAGCTGGACTTGGTCTTTCATGGATACATTTTTTTCTTCCTCTCGTTTGTTTGTGTACCAAGTTCCGGTTACCTCGAAAGAATTGGCGTATCATAGGAAGTATATCGACTGAATCAATGGCTCAAAGATAGCGAGGCATAAAACTAAATATAAAAATAAAAAAGAACGCCAAATAATTTAATGCCTGCTTCCAGTTGCCATCGTAAGGGTTTGATATTCTAACCCCAGGGTTAAGGCCGTCCTTAACTTAATTTGACCTCAACGGGAGGTAAAATGGATTTCTCACTTACTTGACTTATCATCCATACAACCAATCAGTGTAATGCCCTACTTAGTTACAAATCAGGCTTGTAACTTGTAGTATTACTAAGACAACAATAATTCACTAATATTTTTCTTCATTGTTTTCTCTTCTTCCCTATCTTGTGTTGATGTGTCAAAAGGTTAGTTAAAATTGGGAGAAGTAATAGAAAGAAAGCTAAACGGAAAATATAGCTCTGTGTCACTCGTTCATGTAGACAAAGCCAAAAGTGAGCAGAACAACCTTAATTAATAATTACCATCGTGGATTTACATCCCAGTGCAAATTTCTTTGTTCCCCTTTCTAGTTTATAATTTCTCCTTTGTTACAGATTATCGAGTTTTTCGTTTAACTTTGCTAAACTGACTAATCATGATTTTGTTAAACAAAATAACTGGAGATAACACAAATCATAAGGCAAAAGGGATCATAATCTCAGAAATAAACAATAATCATTGGCAGAATCAAGTCAATGTGGCCGTGCACAACTGATTCGACACTTCAAAAACACTTTCGTTGAATGGAAGAAGGTTGATAGATAAGCTGAATCCGCCCATACTTTATTACAAAAATGAGAAGTCCTACCTAAAGCATAATTTGCACGGTCCAACTTTCCAAGAGTATGAAAACTTTAGAATTGTCGAAGAGAAGCGTTGGTAATCTCATTCTTCCGATTGCCTTGTCCCCAGAACTGAAATATCTTCATATCGTTTCTGCATACAAGAGAAAATAAACAGTTTCGATATTAAACTTGTGACATTGTCCAGTAGACCGATCAAAATTGAGAAATTTTACAAGTACATTCAATGTGTACAGAATGTCGTAAACAATTACTACTGACAAAGAATCCCAACTGCACTGAAGACATGAGTAGAACAATATACATGTCTATATAGATGTGGAAAGTGACAATCCATCCCAACTGTGGCCAGCGGCCAGACTCACGAAAATTCCCATCCGTTCAACATAGGTAAGGAAGAGCAACAAATGCCAGATAAACATTCCCTTGAAAAACAAATTACGAAATACATCTATAACCAGCACCACCTAAACTCTCTCCAAAACATGTAGGTCCAGACCCAATGAACAATCCAAACAAGCATACATGCTCAACCAAATGAAGTATACAGAACATCCAGCCATGGGCAAAAGTTTTGTCTTTAGGAAAATAAAAAACCAGCATGTATTTACAGAAGGGAAAATAAGTAAAAGAAATTTACAATTTTGATTTTCCATCTGTATCTAATATAGAAAATAACACACGGGCACAATCGTACATAGCATTCTTCAAGTGTTTCCATCAAACTGGAAATACATAAATTCTAATATACACGAAGTAAGTGCACGCAAACCACCATGTGTAGATAAAACTAAAGAAAAGTTCACATACCCCAACATTATTGTACTCCCACAGCTTATGAACTCCATAATCTACAGCCTGAAACCAGCAAATCAAATACATAAGAAACACTATGACGTTCATTCTTCTTTCACAAAACAACATAAATCTAATAGAAGTAAGAGGCGAATCATAAGAAACAAATTCAGCAAGGAATGAAAAAAACTCGTTCAGAAATATGCATACACCCCAAAACTCAGAAGAAGAAAAAAACACCCGAAATGTAAAGTTCCAAGCAATGCAAATCCAGTAATGTCTCCAGTTAGCAACTCTACGTCCTTACGAGCATTGCACATATGAGATAATATGAAATCATAAACCAAAGTGCCAAGATTTTGAATCTCGATAGTTCCACTATATATATGACCCTCAACTTGATCAATTTAGCAACTTTTCATCTTTACGAGCGTTGAATATATGAACATATATGAAACCAATTAATGAAATTAGATCTATAAAATTAATTACCAAAAATTTATTACTAAATGGCAATAAACAAATATCAAATTTCACCCATTTTTCACCAACACAATAAAAGTATAGCCGCTCCCGTTTAATCACAAGATCAATTCAACAAAATACCATAAACACATCTGAAATTCCTGAGCTTTCTGTTAGACTAAATTGACCTAATCGCAAATCAATCCCTTTAATTTCCTCAGATTTTCCTACCACCAAACAGAAAACAACAGGGAACAAAAATAATCTGAAACGAGAGGTTCAGTGAGGGAAACCCCTAATCTAAAAACTTGTAAGATGCTCACCCGCTCGCCGAGGAAGGCGCCGGCGATGACGAAGGTGACGTAGACGGAGTTGCGGCGCATGATGACCCTGTATAGGCCTTCGAAGAGGCCGCCGCCGCTCCTTCGGGCCGCTGAATCCATGGCGATCTGCGCGAATCTGTTTCCGGTTGCTTCTGATCCGAGCTGCGAGGTGGAAGATTTTGGTCAAGCTCTTGCGTCGTGGAAATGGGAAAGGGATTTGGGTTCTGTAATATTGTGTTTGGATTTGTGAACCGGGTTGCTCGGAGCGGTCCGCTAGAGTGTTGGAACGGTTTGGGGCGGGTCGTTCGGACCGGGCTGTGTGGGCTCCGAAGGTACTGGTCCATGTGGGCTTAGAATTTCTATTTTCAATGGAAATTTTGTATCAATTGTTAGAGTTTTCATCTTCAAATCATTGCCTTGTAAGTTTGAATAATTTTTCAATTTAGTATAAATTAGTTTAAAATATCGATTATAATAAAAAAAATTCTTATGAAATTCTTTTGTTTGGCACACGCTTAGTGGTGTACCAGCTTTTAAAACAAAAGCTATATTGTGAGCAAAACGATTTAAGTGGTTCATTCCTAAATATAGGCTACGTCCACTGTAGTGATTTAATATATATTTGAAGTGGATGACAAGAGTGCCTTAAAATAATGTAATGTAATTTTCCTCCCGTGGATCCGACAACTTATTAAGGGGTATTCGTCTCCCTTATATATGTCCTAGGTGAGCCCCCAAAGTACTGTCCTCTTAATTCTCTCACTGCCTTATCATTTAATGGGTCGAATGCGTAAACCCGACCTATAAGCTACTTCTCCACTATTCATTTAACATGTGGAGAGACAATGACTACACAAGGCTATTTGCATGGCTTCTTGGATCGACAAGCATTGAGTGCAATGTTCGTTCATGAGTGGTTGGAAGGCACTTTAGCTGAGTGCTAGCTTGACGACATTTATATCTTTTGATAGACTTCTTTTCCCGTTAATGGCCAACGCGTGGCCTGAAGTTGACGTCTGAGCAGACTTGTCCTTAAAATTCCATGCTAAGAAGTTGTTAGGCTTGCCAACTGTCTTGAGCAATGAGAAAGTACTTTAAGTTTTGCGCTCATTCCTTCTTATTACTAGACAATGCAGGGCCAAGAGTGGTCATCTTCTTCGTTGTTGTGGTAGCGCTCTATCTATCGAGTTTCTTGGGCTGGCTTATAGGCCTAATATCTTGGTGTTCTCATCCTTTAGTTTGCTCTCTTCAGGCCCATCTATTAGGTTCAACAATTATATACACTATATCTATCTATACTAATGTCGTAGAGGAACAATTATATATTCTTAATGTGTCTAATAAACCTTACAGTAACAGGTACCACATAAGGCATCATTGTACTTTTGACTTCCTAAGTCAGACGGTCTGCCAAAACAAAATGGTGGCTTCTAAACATGCAAGTGTGGAGCTCGAACCGAAATTGGAAGTTTACTTGTAATCAAAGTCGAAATGAAATTAAATGAAACTACGTGTTAATTTGCCAGGAGGACTGTTTTGCCCGTGACTAATGTAGTACCCTCCTAGAACACTCAACACAGAGAGCATTCGCACAGGTCAAATCCTCTGCCTTGCCGACTCCTCATAGCTCAAAGCCTCACTTGGCCATGGAGTTAGCAAAAGAGCTGCGAGAGATTCAGACGCTAGTGGGCCATACTGATAGGGTCTGGAGCCTCGCCTGGAATCCGGCCACCGGTGTCGCCGGAATTCCCCTTTCCTTCGCTTCCTGCAGCGGCGATAAGACCGTTCGTATTTGGGAACAAAACTCATCCACTTCTTCTTGGGATTGTAAGGTGACCCATCTTTTCATCTAATTTTATTTAATATTTCCATTTTTTGTTAAATGGGTCGGTTCTTAATGGAGTTTTTACGGGTTGCAGGCAGTTCTGGATGAAACGCACACCAGAACCGTCCGATCGTGCGCTTGGTCGCCATCTGGGAAGTTATTGGCCACTGCAAGCTTCGATGCCACCACTGCAATTTGGGAAAATGTTGGAGGCGATTACGAATGTGTTGCCAGTCTAGAGGTATGCAAATAGTGAAAGAATCTTGCTTTAGATAAATTGGTCAATTTTTTTTACAAGTTGGGATCTTTTATTTTTTTGTTAGTAATGATGGTATTTTGTTAATGACATTGAAAGACTATTGCTTGGCATAAATCGTCGATTTTGCAAGTTGGGTTCTTTGGTTTTTGTTAGTAATGTGAAAAGGCATTTTTTTTTGTGTGTGTGTGTGTATTAGGGTCATGAAAACGAAGTGAAAAGTGTGTGTTGGAATGCATCTGGGTCTATGCTTACGACTTGCGGGCGGGATAAAACTGTATGGGTATGGGAAGCACTGCCCGGGAATGAGTTCGACTGTGTTTCAGTGTTGCAAGGCCATACACAGGATGTGAAGATGGTCCAGTGGCATCCCACTAGGAATCTTATATTTTCTTGTAGCTACGATAACACTGTCAAGGTAAAAGCATAGAATTTTTAAGTGCTTTTACTACTTTCCCTACCACCGTCCTACAAAAATGGTTACTTTTTTTTCTTTCATTATGTATCAAGAAGATTGGACTTCCTCAGAGTTTTTATGGTTCAGTACAATGTTTCTTGCAGATATGGGCGGATGATGGTGACGATGATGATTGGGCTTGTGTTCAAACATTAGGAGAAGCTAACAAGTACTACGCCTTAGCCTCTTTGCATCTTGAAATTTTCATCATCCTTCTTTCTTCAGAATTGTTCACTTCAAGTAAAATATTCCATAACGTTGTGCGTGTGTTCACTCCTAAGCAGTTTTTCTTTAGATGAGGCAATGTTTCTCTGATTGATTAGATATGGACGACTAGAATGTGCAGTGGACGCAATGCATCTCAGCTGTTCATATATAATTTAAAATAAATATGATCCTATCTTAGGAATGCAGGAGATTTTTTGTTGAATGTAATACATGGTTCTAAACCAGTTGAGTTTGCAGTATTGCTAGCACTTTTTACTAAAATATACCAATTTACTCTAATTTAGCTCATCGGTTTTCTTGTTAGTGGTCACTCTTCTACCGTCTGGGCTCTATCGTTTAATGCCAGTGGAGACAAAATGGTTACCTGCAGGTATGCAGAAAAGATATCTCATTTTAATGTTTGCTTGGTTTGGATACTAAAACACCATTTGTAAGAACATCTATGAAAAACAAAAATTGAAGAAATAAATCACAATGTACTGATTTTGCAGTGATGATCTTACTTTAAAGATATGGGGATCAGACGATGCAAAGATGTCTGCTGATGGCTTTGCACCTTGGTGAGTAGCATTAGGAGTACTTCTTTACCTTTTTAGAATCCATACGTGAAATTGGTTTTTCACTTTTGGGAATTATTTTTAAAATGTTGAGTATTCTCTTTCTCTCACTCTCTCTGATATTGATTTAGTTCTATAATTCTTTTTGTTTGTTTTATGTACTTTTTACTTTGAGTTCCTCATGTAGTCTTTCTGTACTTTTGAACACTCACGCATCCTGACGCATACACGATCCACTGTCACTCCTATGTAAACATGCATGAATTTGAAACAGTTTATATTTTCTACAAAAAGAGACAATGTAATTGTGTTTTATAGCTAGAGAAAGATATTATTATTGAACTTAATTCGTTAATTAGTAATTGGATTAATAGGGTGCTGACAGTTAGCTGTAATTCATTTGTTATAATTGTACTGACAAGATGCTTCGTTCTTTTTGGTTTTTCAGGCGACATCTTTGCACTCTTTCAGGTTATCATGACCGGACAATATTTTCAGTTCATTGGTCAAGGTATTAAAACCCAAGAAATAGTCCCAAGTGTTGAGGGTTTGTAGTCAAGATTATAAAACACAGGAAAGAATCAAGATGAGCTGTTTAATTTGGTAGTTTACTGAATATTCTCACGATCTTTTATTCGGTATAAGATAGTATAGTAATCTGGGTAAAGTATACACCAAACATGGCCGCATTGATTTGATTGAGTTAACTAGGTTAGTTAATTTATTTTTTTATTCACCAAATAAGATTTGGATTTATCCCAAATATTGATTTATATTTGATTGAAAAATGACAGGGACAATATCATAGCCAGTGGAGCTGCTGATGATGCCATAAAATTTTTTGTGGAGAACAATGATCAAGATGGTTTGGTATGTCATAATCTTTAACCCACGTTGATTATTTCAGAATTCATTTTGTATGCCTTAATATCTGCTATTCTGCATGCATCTGATGGTAAACTGCTAATTAATATAGGTGATGCCACACACCTCTTTTTACCTTACACATACTCTCTTAATTACGGATGTCGGATGGAATGAATTGAAGAAGACCAAAAGACAGATTAACAGGGGGTGTGTGGGAGTAAAAAGGGGCTGTGGACAGCACCACCCTAAATATATATCTAAAGCTTGGTGTGGATCAGTTAATCTAATGCTTTTTAGATATATAGTCCCCTTGCCGAAATCACTCGACAAGGTTTTCGATCTCTAAATGTGTGTTTACTTCTGATTCGTACGCAGATGCTAGTAGCAAGCTCATTGAGTGCTAGATGATTGGAGTGGCTCTATTATTTGCTTATCTGGTTTGGAGAGTATTAAGTTACTGAATTGTGTGTTTTCATTCAGGTTGATGGACCTTCTTATAAATTGCTTTTGAGGAAGGAGAATGCCCATGACATGGATATCAATTCTGTGCAATGGAGCCCTGGGGTAAGATTTCTTCTTCTGCAACTTATTTAGGTCCTATTCTTTTCCCTGTGAATTGAGGGGGTGCCGACATGGACTCTACGTTCTTTAACTCGTATCTGCTACCATTAATGCCACCACGACTCAAATGGCTATCACCACCCGTCATTGCTTCTGTCACTGTAATTTCTGTTGTATCCACTACTACTATCACCAGCACCCCCTTCATAGTCAATACTACCACCCACAATCATCATTGAACCCCGACTGTAATTACAAGCGTCATTGTTTTCAACACAAACGCACAACTACCGCTACCATTTTGAGGATCTTTATTGTTGCTGATACCCTTGAACGGTACCAATATGCACATAGTCCAATCATGATTGTGGGTGGGACACAAAACAGATAATGAGCCGTGTAGACCGTGGTTGTAGCGGCTTAATTGTCTGCTTAGTGTTCCTCCAGTTTTAGTAGTGATTTGAAGTTTTTAACCGGTTTTATTTGTGCATATTTCCCTATATATTTGAAGAAAGAGAAAAGTGAGAGGTTGAACTTTCATACGTATACTAACATTTCCATCGTACACTGCTGTTGAATTCTTTAGGAGGACCGGGTTCTTGCTTCTGCATCCGATGACGGGACGATTAAAATATGGGAGCTGACATCTGAATAGCTGTCGAAAGAAACCCTTTGCTGCTAAAACACTTGTGTAATAGCAAACGTGTTATATATTTCTTTTATCCTGTTGTTAATTTTTGGAAAAACAAAGACATGAAAGATTGTATGGTTAGTGAAATATGGCCTTTTTATTTATTTTATTTTTATGTGCGGGTCGTCAAAAACACAATAGATTTTCTTCTAATGAGGAAGGGGGATCGTATAACTTGTAAGGATTGCAAAGTTATACCAGGAGAGAGCTTGGCTAATCAACATCGCTTGTTGGTGATGGATGTACATATCAAAAGAGAGAGTCAAAAGAACAAGACCTTGAAGTGCCCAAGGACTAGATGGTGGAATCTAAAAGGAGAAAAACAAGCCATTTTTAAAGAGAAAGTAATCACCCAATTCGTTTGGGATAGAAAGGGGGAAGCTAGTCAAAAGTGGGATTTCAAGGCTAGTTGTATCTGAAAAGTAGCAAAAGGGGTATTAGGAGAGTCCAAGCGTTTTGCTCCACACCAAAAGGAATCCTAGTGGTGAAAGGAGGAGGTACAGACAAAGGTTAAGGCTAAGAAGGAATGTTGTAAAGCCTTATACAAGGATAAGACCGATGAAAACGGTGAAATGTATAGAATAGCGAAGAAAGAGACGAAGAAAGTTGTGAGAGATGCTAAGTTAGCGGCTTTTGATGAGCGACTAGATACCAAAGAAGAAGAGTTGGATATCTATAAACAAGCTAGAGCAAGCGAAAAGAAATAGGGGACCTAAACCAAGTGAGGTGCATCAAGGATGAGAATGAAAAGGTTCTTGCTACAGAGAACACAGTCAAAGACAGATGGAGAGGTTATTTTCATAATCTTTTCAATGAAGGACATGAAATAAGTACTTTTTTTGGGGGGGGGGGGAGGGGGGGTTGAGTAACTTAGAAGAGTGTAGAAACCACTCATTTTACTATTGAATTAGGAAGGAAGAAGTGGGTGTAGCATTGAAAAAGATGAAGCATAGAAAGGCAGTGGGACTAGATGATATACCGATCGAAATGTGGAAAGTCTTGGGAGAGACGGGTATAGCATGGCTCATAAACCTTTTCAATAGGATTTTGAAAACAAAAAAGATGCCAAATGAGTGGTGAAAGAGCACTTTGGTGCCTATCTACAAAATTGCATGAACTATAGGGGTATTCTGTTAATGAGTTATACAAGGAAGCTCTGGGAGAGAGTAATTGAGCATAGACTGAGGCAAGAGACACGGGTCTTGGACAACCAATTCGGGTTCATGCCAGGGCGCTTAATCATGGAGGCAATCTATCTTTTACGAAGATTGATGAAAAGATATAGAGATATGAAAAAGGATTTGCACATGGTCTTTATAGATTTGGAAAAAGAGCATGATAGGGTCCCAAGAGACATTCTTTGGAGAATTTTAAGGGAGAAAAGAGTACGAGTAGCATATATCCAAGCTATAAAGGATATGTATGATGGAGCAAGAACTGTCGTAAGAACTCATGAAGGACAAACTGAAAGCTTCCCATAACTGTAAGGTTACATCAAGGCTCATTTTTAAGTCCTTTACCTTTTTGCATTGGTAATGGATGAGTTAACGAGACATATTCAAGGTGATATTCCTTGGTGTATGTTTTTCGTAGATGATATAACGTTGATAGATGAAACTCAGGAAGGAGTAAATGCGAAGCCTAACCTTTGGAGAAAAATGTTGGAATCTAAAGGTTTTCGCCTAAGTTGGTCAAAGACAAAGTATATGGAGTGCAGTTCAGTGCAAACGGAGACTCAAATGAGTTAGGGGTGAGGATTGGAGATCAGGAAGTACCAAAGAGTGACAGTTTTCGCTACCTAGGATTTATCTTGCAAAAGAACGGAGAGTTGGATGGAGACTTCAACCATAGAATACAAGCTAGATGGATGAAGTGGAAGAGTGCATCCAGCGTGTTGTGTGACTGTCGTATGCCACTGAATCTCAAGGGATTTATAGGATGTCAATAAGGCCAACAATGCTTTATGGCATGGAATGTTAGGCGGTGAAGTATCAACACGTACATAAAATGAGTGTAGTGGAGATGAGAATGCTTTATTGGATGTGTGGGCACACGAGAAAGGATAAGATTAGGAATGAGGATATACGAGATAAAGTAGGAGTAGCCGAAATTGAAGGAAAGATAAAAGAAAATTGGTTATGGTGGTTTGGACATATGAAACGAAGGCCTACTGACGCTTCGGTTAGAATATGCAATTACGGGACAAAGGTTCAGGGCCGAAGGGGTAGAAAAAGACTTTAGAAGAAACTCTAAGAAAAGACTTAGAGTACTTGAATCTAATGGAAGACATAATACAGAATGGAGCGCAATTGTTGTTGTTAAGTAGATGTAATCATGTAGTGAATATTTATGAGAAAGAAGATGGCTTACAGTATTAACAAATTTGCTTTCAGACATCGACTTCTATTTTGTCTTTCGACTTTTACTCTCTCGAGAGAAACTTACCAACGATGAGATGTCCTTGTGACGATAATTGAAGTTTCCAACCCAAGTCATGGGTTGTTATGCATTTTATCTTTTTCACATGGCAATGGGTGATAGGCCTGAGATATTGCCACATTAGGATTCCCGTCGCATCTGATTCCTCAGATGGTAGATTGATTCTTCATCATCTGCAAGTGGCTCTTTATCACAATGGTGGAAATGAGTTGAACCTTTGCATGACGGCGTGAGTTCAAACTCCGTGGTGGCTAATCTGATATCTAATCTATGACAAAAAAAAAAAAAAAAAGGATTGAATTCTTCATCATCCTCTCCCCCCATTTCACAATGATTGCTTACATTTTGTTCCAAAATATATAATCTGGCTTAAATTTGTTTGCTCACTGGCATTCAACCAATATCATCTCAAGGGAAAAGCGAAGCGATCCTCCTTTTAATCAAACTGAAAAAGGAAATTATCTTCCATTTGACCAATTGGAGAGGAATTCAAACTCGAAATTTCTTCCGATTATGCACCGGTGATAAATGAATCCTATATTTTCTAACCATATTTTAATACAAAGTTGAACACAAAATTTTAATACAAGTTGCGCACGCCGTTATTTTGAGAATATATTCTTTAGGGATTTGGATTTAGCTGAGTTGGTTATAACAGTATACGTATCTTTTCCATACCTAAGTTTGAGTTCCCTTTCAATAATTTAAATTAGACAATAATATCGCCTAAATTTTTTTGGTTCATTATTACTAAAATCATTCTCACAGTATGTAAACTCATTGTTTCAACAATCATTTGTATATGATCATAATAATATAATTAAAAAAACAAAGATAAAAGATCTTATAAAACTAATAAAAAGAAGATTAAATTATCATTAATGAATATTCAACACCTGTTTTCTATCCTTAATCTGCCGGAGTTTTCTCTCCTCCCCTCCTCAACCAAAGCAGACCGAGCAGTCATAATCCCACTCGGAAACAAAGAAGCATCAAAAGCTGAACAATCTATCCAATCCTGCAGCAACTCCTCCTGCCCCCATATCTCCGGAATCCAAACCTGTCCGGCCACCTCCATTCTATGCTTCTTTAACCTCTCAAGTCCACTCTCTTCTTCTTCCGCCGCTGCCGCCGTAGGCACTTGATCTACCACAACATCATCATCACCTTCTACAGCAGCCGAATCCTGACCGTTCAGTGTTGAAAGTTCCTCGTCCTTTTCATGCATCTTAGGTGACGTGCTTCCTTGCTGCTCCATAAAACTGTCATTTTTCTTTGAGATTTGCTCACCATTTTCTTGCATATTTGGTAGAACTGGAGTGTTTTGGATGATGGGTTTCTGCAGAGAGATTTGAGATGGTTTTCTTCTCATTTGGATTCAGAAATGGTGATAAAAATGTGTGCTTGCCAGAGCTTGCTGCTGCTTCTTCTTCCTCTGGATGGAGTTGTTCGAACTTTGTGAAATCAAATGGTGGTAGTATAGTAGGTTAGGGGAGGATTTATGTGTATGTTAATAAATAATAATGCAGGCTAGAATGGGTGGGGAGTTAGTGTTACACGTCAACTCAAAAGGTTTTGGTTTTTGTGTATGGTACGTGGCTTGGCTGAGATTGAAGTCCATTTTATGTGGCTTAGTTCTTGTTTGAATATAATAAAAAAAAGGGAAGGAAAGGAAAATGAGACTCTGGTAATAAAGTACAATACTTGTGTCGCCGATAGCTCAACTTTTTTAAAGTACATTAAAGTTTTTTAATTTTTTTTGACTTGAGATTTATGCATTCATGTCTTCAGTATGCCACATGTTGGGTAATGTAAACGTACGTGGACCGTTAGCTTAACATGTGAACAATATACTTTAATATCATTAAGAAATGAGAAGTTTTACCTTATAAAACAAGTGGTAGTGTTGGCCAGATTAAGCTTAATTTCTTATAAAGCACATGCAAAGTTTCGTACTTTCTCATTGTAGGATTCTTGCTCTCAACAACATGTGCATTTCTTATACAATCCGCTAATACTACGGTTTGTTATATTTCTTTGTATTTATAAATGAGAGGTTTTTTATTCGACTTTTGATGAGATATATGATGAGTTTGATTCCAATCTCACACCTTAATGTAAATATCAAAATTTTTAACTTCTCTAAGAAAAAATAATCAAATTTGTTGAACCATTCTAAATATTTGTAATGTAACATCTCCAAAGGAGATGTCAAAACTAACACATACACAAGCAACACTAAAAAATAGCAACAAACTCTCTCCAACCGAGCCTTCAGTTTCTTGCGTGACGCCAAGTCAATTGAAGGCAAAGACTTCTATTGTCAAATTCATTTAATAATTTTTAAATAAGATGTGGTGCAATATATAATAAATGTTGTCGTGTGTTTTAAGTATTTTATTGGTTGTTTCAATAATTGAACTCGCAAAGGATAAAAAAAGTATAAAATAACATTATTATTGAAAATATTAGATAAAATAAAAAATTATAAAAAATATCAAATTACCATATAAACCATCAGTATCATTTTAATGAGTTAAATTGACAACTTCTTCGACCTAGTTGCAACCAAGTAGCAAGTTGCATAACCCGCAGCTGGAAAGTAACAGAACCGTGGGCTGCTCTCAAATTGACAATACCATGCATGTTTTAAAGGCATAGCGTCCATATCCTTTCCATGCATAATTGCCATATTCAATGAAACTTCGCATACTATTCAATTTCCAAATAGATATTTTCTGATGCACATAAATACTTCTAGCAGCCTTTGGTTTGTTTTGGCTCTCCTACGAAATTTAAGAACTCATCTTATCCAAAAATAATAATAATAATTTAAGCTTAGCAAGAGGTTGTAGATCTTGCTTCGTCAGCAGCTCGTGCTGCTTTATTTTCGGACTATGTTGACTTGTCTGACTATTACTTCTCAAATTAATGTGCATCTTGGCATTCAAGTTTGTCTTACTTTCTTGTTTTTTTCTTAACTTTGTGGTGTTGTTCAACTCGTTTTGCAAGTATAGACCTGTAGGTTTGATTTTAGGATTTAGGGTTTACATGCATATATATATATATTTCTCATATTCACGCGAAGAATACTTTCAGAGTTTCAAACAAGAGCACAACCCTGAAGCAACAATTAGATAATACACAACTAAAAACACTATAAATCATTCACTAGTTTACCAACTTTTGAATACATAGAATCATAAACAAATTTCATTGCATAGAATACAAGAATCCAATTTGAAGTCAATTTGTAATGAGTGGAAGCGACAGTTAACGAAAGACTTTCATCTTCAATATGGGTTATTCTTGACAACAATAACAAACAACTTTTATTTTTCGATGCGTGAAGAGAGATACAAAGTACTACATAGCTATATATATAATTACTTGTGCATAGTCAGGCACGTACTAGTGTAAAATCTAAGGAGAAACGATAAGGTTTTAGGCAAACTGATTCTGTAGTATCCAAATGGTGGTGTATTATGCACATTGGCATCTTTCTCTTCGATGCCCCATGTTGTCATGTCTTTCTTATTTTTGCCTCCTTATGGGAGGAGCACTATCGACATAAAATGCATTGCAAAAGAAGAGGGCAAGTAATACTTCCTCATGTATATATTCTTGTTTTACAAGAAGTTACAACACTTGAATATCTACTTATAAGACACACACACACACACATTTCTTCAAAATATTGTACAAATATCACCGGAACTATTAGATACGTGCAATTGCTACCGTCACGTATTTTTTACAATGTGACCAGTAGCGGAGTCACATGGAGGCTATATGCCCATGCCCGTCATGGAATTTCATCAATAAATATGTATTGTCTGCTTGTTTTAATCATAAAAGAGTATGTGATCTATTGTTTTGACCAAGGAGTGATGGGTTAGAAACCTGTTGGAGCCAACAACCTTATGTTTTTTGTTTAAACCCAACCTTACAACTAACCTTTTGTTTTACCATATAAAAATCAATTTTTTTTTTTTTTTGGCCAGTTCATGTAAAAGAAGGTCTATACAATTTAGAGGAATATCCAATTATGTTAAAAGTTTTTTTTTGTTGAGCCTAATGTATTAATTAGTTTTTTTTTTTCAACAAAACTCATAAAGAAGTTATGTTCTTATGATATAATCTTCTTAATACCAAAATTTTCATACAAATTTTAAAGCTCTATCACATTTATTTGATAAAAAAAATTTCCATGCCAATAGAAAGAAAGGAAAACTAATGAAAATGGTTTGAAAACTTTGAGTTTTAATGAAAATGACAAAAATATTTTGTAAGTGAATAGTACCAGAAGTGACTTTTTAGAGTAAAAATATGATTTTTTATTAAAGTGAACAATATCGACAGTTTTTTGTTAAAGTTCTCTAGAAAGAACTTTAATTTTTCTCCAACTAATTGTGTTGCTATATTTTGTCCAAATATATTTAGAAAAAAAATCGAAAAGGTTCCTCAAAATATATTACATGTGGACTATAATGTATTTTAAGAAGGTTTATTTTTATACAAACGATATTCTATTTTTAAAATTAAAAAATAGAAGAAATTGAACTCAAGTGAACAACATAACTTCAACCAAGATAGTCACGTCTGCATTGCCATTATTCTTTATGGAATGAAAGGTGGTATTAGTCCATCCACACGTTATATGTAATGAAATGTTGAACCCGATGTGATATTTGAGGTGAAGTATGTTTTGTAAACATCACAAAAACACACAATCCAAGCATATGTGGATGGCTATAGCTCTCGAGGAATTCGACAACTAGAAATTTAACATCTATGTCCATAACCACATGATTTGCCAAGTCTTGCCCCCTTGGTAATGTTGAAAAAGATTGACAAAATGTAGCCACCAACCATAACAGCACTTATAAAAAGGATTGGCAATCACTGTTTTTTTTTCTTCTTTCTACGCGCGCATCTGTATTTTCGATTATTAGATTCAATAAATAAAATAAAAACTGGGATGTGATATCTAAATATCTATTTTTACTTATCCCACATCTTTTTGGTTTTTAACCGTCGGATTGGATGAATTGAAGAAGATCAACGGACATAAATTAACAAAGATGTATGAGAAGTAAAAAGGGGTGTGTGGATAGCACATCTCTAAAAGTTAACGAACAAGAATAAATATGGGTATTTCGATAAGTTATAAATGTGTTGTTATCATTTTCTTAAGAGATGTTGGTCGATTTTCTGTCCAAACTTGTAAGGAGCTGCCAATTTTCCTCTTGGACTTTTATAATTGGTCAATTTCCTCCGCTAAATTTTAGTTTTAGCCGATTATTTATTTGAACTTTTATAATTGGCAAATTTCTCCCTAAACTTTAATTTCCCTCCTAAACCCTAAACCTTAAAATTCAAACAAAAAGTATACGGATTGAATTAGCAAAAGAGAAGAAGATATTGTCTGCACTAGGGATAAAATTACCTTTTTTTGCAATTATAAAATTAAAGTTCAAGAGGGAATTGATCGATTATAAAAATTTAAGGGGTATTCAAAATTAAAGTTTAGAGAGGAAACTAACTAATTATAACTAAGAATTAATTTCAAAAACATTTTCACCAAAAAAAGCCATTTTCAAAGAACTTCCAAATCAGCTCATACTCTTCTCAGGGTTAAAAAGGCAATAACTAACTAGCAAATCCAACATCTAAAGAAGAATGTCCAATTCATTTGATCATGTTATTAACATTTATTTTCTAAGATATTCTATTTTTACCACATAATTTCCTTTTAGGGAAAACTAATGAAAAGAGTTTAAAAACTTTAAGTTTTAACGATAAAGACAAAATAAAGTGTAAAATGAATAGTACTAGGTTTGATTTTTTTGTGCATAAATATGATTTTTCGTTAAAATGAACAATACTGCAAACTTTTCGTTAAAACTCTCTTCATTTTATTTGTGCATTTTGTAAAGCATTTCCACAAAATTTCTATTTACACCCCCTTCCTGATGAATTTTCAACAAGCGTGCCGTTTTGGCGGGTACATGTTCAAGGACTCCACCAGCTTGGCGCAAACCATCCAAACCTACGCCCGGACCAAGCAGCTGCACAGAGGCAAAGAGCTCCACGCTCAGCTCCTCCGCAACGAGTACCCACTTTGCATCTTTCTCGCCAACCATCTTCTGAACATGTATTCCAAATGCGGGGAGGTCGACTATGCACTCAAATTGTTCGACACAATGCGGCAGAGAAACTTGGTTTCTTGGACGGCAATGATAACTGGGTTTTCTCAGAACTTGAGGTTCTCGGAGACTTTAGAAACGTTTTCCCAGATGAGGGTTGCCGGAGAGAAACCAACCCAGTTTGCATTTGCAAGTGTTATAAGAGCTTGTGTGTTTCTCGGGTCGATTGAGATCGGGAGGATGATGCATTCTCTTACTTTGAAGTTGGGGTTGGCTTGTGAGTTGTTTGTGGGTAGTAATTTGGCGGATATGTATTGGAAGTGTGGGGTGACGGTTGATGCTTGTAAGGTTTTTGAGGAGATGCCGTTTAAGGACGCGGTATCATGGACTTCGATGATTGATGGGTATGCAAAGAGTGGTGATTCTGAGGCAGCTTTACTAACTTATAAAAGGATGATTGTTGATGGGATTGTTATAGATCAGCATGTTCTTTGTACTGCCTTAAATGCTTGTTCTGCGTTGAAGGATTGTAAGTTCGGAAAGTGTCTTCATTCGACCGTTCTAAAGTTAGGACTTCAAACGGAGGTTTCAGTGGGCAACGCTCTGACTGATATGTACGCGAAAGCAGGAGATATGGAAAGTGCTTCAGATGTGTTCCGGATTGACTCTGAGTGTAGAAACATTGTGTCTTCTACTTCTCTGATCAATGGTTACGTTGAGATGGATGAAATCGAGAAGGCTTTTAGTTTGTTTGTTGACTTACATAGTTGGGGAGTTGAGCCTAATGAGTTCACTTTCTCTAGCTTGATCAAGGCTTGTGCCAACCTAGCTGCACTTGATCAAGGAATCCAGCTTCACGCTCAGGCAATTAAACTTAATCTCGATAGACACCCTTTCATTTCTACTGTTCTTGTTGATATGTATGGAAAATGTGGGTTGCTTGATGATTCGACCCAAGTGTTTCATGAGATAGCAAACCCGAATGAAGTTGCATGGAATTCATTGTTAGGCGTGCTTGCTCTTCATGGATTAGGAAAAGAAGCCTCGGAAACATTTAATAGAATGGTACAAAGAGTGAAGCCGAACGCAATAACATTTATCAGTCTTTTAATAGGGTGTAGCCATGCTGGATTGGTAAAGGATGGTTTAAATTACTTTTATTCTATGGAGAAAACATATGGAATAGTTCCTAGAGATGAACATTACTCTTGTGTTATTGACTTGCTTGGCCGGGCTGGAAGGCTTAAAGAGGCTGAAGAATTCATAAACAGCATGCCAATTCAACCAAATGCTTTCGGGTGGTGCTCTTTCCTTGGAGCCTGCAGGATTCACGGTGATAAGGAGAGGGGAAAACTGGCAGCAGAAAAACTGATGCATTTAGAACCTGAGAACATCGGAGCACATATTCTGCTGTCGAATATATATGCTAAGGAGCAGCAATGGGAAGATGTGAGGAGTGTAAGGAAGATGTTGAGAGATGGCACCATGAAGAAATTGCCAGGGTATAGTTGGGTTGATGTTGGAAACAAAACGCATATCTTTGGAGCCGAAGATTGGTCCCATCCTCAGAAGAAAGAAATTTATGAAAAGCTTGATACTCTTCTTGATCAGATAAAGAAAGCTGGATATGATCCACAAACAGATTCGATTCCACATGATATGGATGATACTGAGAAGGAAAAGGTTCTTCACCATCACAGTGAGAGGATAGCGATTGCATTTGCGTTAATAAGTATGCCGGCTGGGAAGCCGATCATTGTGAAGAAAAATATAAGGGTGTGCTTGGATTGCCATTCTGCAATCAAGTACATCTCCAAGGTGGTAGGGAGAAAGATTATCGTTAGGGATAATAGTCGGTTTCACCATTTCGCAGGCGGGCAGTGTTCATGTGGAGATTACTGGTAGTGTTTTGGAAGCTGAAGCATTAGTCAAGGGATTTACTGGGCAGAAGCCAGAGCTTCAAAAGCTAACTGCAGGGTGAGGAAGAAGGGTTATAGATGACTTGGGACCCATTTGGCAAGGAATTTAGAAAGGCCAAGACTGCTTTCAAATAATCAAAAGCACTTCTGACAACGTTTATCAGAAAAATTTAGTGCTTATGGAATATAAAAAGCACTTGAAGCAAACACTTACCGCACGAAGCACGAAAAAAACTTGAAGATTTGCTGCTTCTAACAAATGCACTTCCAACAGAGGCGCTTATGACCGTAAGTGTTCTCTTCGGAAGCTCCGTTGCCAAACGAGCCTTTGCTCATCAAGAAGGAAGAAGGCGATTTTAAGATGGAAGCATGTAAGAAGACAACCCTTTGGCCATCATCTTCAACTTGGAACACAACTACCCTTCCACTAAGATGGGAACAAATTGTGGGTGTCTAATTATGTTTTTGACACCCGACAATTAAAATTGAGTGGTAATTTCTGTGTGGACTTATCTCCGCCTACACACTTCTGTTCATTTCTGCTGTATTTGGTTTGAAGCGAAGAATAAAAAAAAAGGCATTGCGGAAATTATTTCCCTCTAATTCAAGAGTATATACATAAAGAAGAATTTTCTCTGAACGAATCCATTCATGATTTCTCCACATGTTGTATCTCACTTTCAAAAGGGAAAACTGTACATGCCGATGGCGTTTATTCAAATCTTCCGGCGAAAAACTCGCCAGATCTAAATGTCTTGAAACGGGAAACATACACTCGGACGAGGATGTACTAATCTAATAGCAAAGCTAGAAACTGCTAATGGCATATGGATGATCTATCATCTAGTATCTACGGAGGCATACTTAAATCCCTCGGATGGATGCTGAGGTGGAGGTCGGGAGGCATGAGATCAAACTCTTGGATAACGGGAGCGTCCTTTTTTCTTCAAGAAATCAGGAATCTCGACTGCACTACCTTCCATGAAAGAGGATGGCCGTCGATTGATTCCAAGGGTGACATCTCCTTGTGCCTGCATATAGGTAGATTTAACAAAATTGTTTGAAAGAGAGAGTTAGTGCATGTGTGTGCGTGAGCGGGGGCACGTTAAGGAATTACCTGGAGTGGCCTTCCTTCATTTTCTTCTTGGCGTTTGAATCCAGTAGCAATAAGGGTTATACTGACCTGAATGAAAAACGAAGACAAGCAACATTGCATTTTAAGATGCAGCCATCCAATTCCTTTATGATAATCCCATGATATCCGGTTTGGCAAATTTACCATGTTCAACAAGAAACCAGGAAGCTCTTGGACATATTTTTTACCACGTTCATTTTAGAGAAAGCAAAAATACTTACTTGACCACTGAGAGATGGATCTGTCACTGCCCCAAATATTAAATTTGCTGTTGGATCGACAAGATCATATATAACCTCAGCTGCAGCATTTACCTACGAGAATTGCTCATTTGAAATTAGAGAGTAAGAGAGGAAAAATACAACGCCATATCAACTGTGAGTCAAAACTACCATTTATAATTCAGTAAAGGATATCAAGCGGAAAGGCAGTGAGGGTTCAGGTGCGGCAAGTAGTAAGAAGCAGGAAGCACAGGAAGCAGCAGTAAGCGCAATAATGGAGTTATTACATTGTGAACATTAGCACAGTTCTGGGCCAACTAAATGATTCTTTTATGAGAAAATTGTCGAAAGAGATTTTAGGCCAATCATAGTAGTAGTTCATTCTCTCCGTGCGGGTCTAGAATAAGATCAATATACAGATTGCAGAGTAACGTCATCTCACAGTCAAGAATTAAGGGAGAAATCTCGATTTCAATAAGCTTAGTACCCTCTCTGCAGCATTTTCAGACTATTGAATGCAATGGTGAAATCATAAGCATAATTCCTAAAGACAGCTTTGTCTCACAGAAAACGGTAAACCACACTTCAAGTTGGAACAGATTTTCTTTTACAGAAATGGTACATGGAAGACTTTCATACTGAAGAAAAGAAATATGTCAACTTCATGATCCCACGAGTACGATCAAAACAGAGAGTAAGAGAGAAGTACCTCATAAAGGGTCAAATCAGCTCCCCCAGTTATGTTCCAAACAATTCCAGTTGCCCTCTCAATACCAATATCTAGTAAAGGTGATTGGATGGCATTTAATGCAGCATCCCTTGCCCTCGTCTTCCCTGTTCCGAGGAAATACAAAAATCAGAAAAAAAGTTTCAGCATATTATTATAAAAAAAAATGCAGAATTTATAATATATTAACTTGAGACCATGTCTTCTTTCAGACCTTTCCTTCTCATGTTCTAACAAAAAAACTGAAATTTTAGATGCCATTTATTCTATATTAACTTCACAAGGACGTTAGCCACAATGGTGTCATAAGGGAAGGCAATACGGAAATTTTGGGACCACAATAATCAAGTCCAAAATTGTAAGTGAAGCCTCTGATATGATATAAGCACTCTAAACACCCTAGTAGTATGCAGCTAAAACATTACCAGTTGCAGTTCCTATCCCCATCAATGAAGAACCCGCATTGGCCATTATAGCCCGTACGTCAGCAAAATCCACATTTACCAATCCTGGTATCTGCAATGAAGATGATGGTGCATCAATTATAGTAACAAATATGGCCCAAAAAGGGAAACACATCGATCCACAAACAAATAAAAAAATCCCCATTGACCAAATGAAGGCCCTTGAAAGGCTCTATGAATGGTTTAAACAGTCAGAAGTCAAGATTACACTTCATTACACAATATTTTTAAAGACCACATACCGTGATTATATCAGAGATGCCACGAACACCTTGTCGTAGAATATCATCAGGCCAGATTAAATGCTTCTGTTACTGGGGTAGACGGGGAAACTGCAGTCAATAACTTGTCATTTGGAATGACTATCAGTGTGTCAACATTTTCTCTCAGAGCCGCAATTCCTTCCTGGGCTTGAACTGCCCTTTTCCGTCCCTCAAAAGAGAAAGGGGTTGTCACGACACCAACAGTCAATATACCCATTGACTTTGCAACACCTGCAACTATAGGAGCTCCACCAGTGCCAGTTCCTCCACCCATTCCCGCCTGCATATGAAGATATTTAATGTCAGGGTGCAGAGATGCATGAAATAGGCAAATGTTGGAAGTCATGACAGAGGAATAGCATTTGAACCTACCGTAACGAAGACCATGTCTGATCCATAAAGTGCTTCTTCTATTGATTCTTTGCTTTCTTTGGCAGCATTCATACCAATATCTGGGTTTCCACCAGCTCCAAGACCCCTGGTAAGTTCTTGACCAATTTGTAAACGGTTTTCGGGAAAGACAGGAGACATTCTCATGGCTTGAACATCGGTATTAACAATCCAGAACTCCACACCCTTCATTGCACTCTCTATCATGCGATTAACTGCATTTGACCCTCCACCGCCAACACCAATAACTTTGATTTTTGCTTCACCGTTGTTACTAGGAGAAGATTTGTCACTTAAGCTCTCAGTGACACCTCCACCTGAAATATCTTTTCTTGGGTTGTTAACCCTATCGTTTCCCTCTCCTCTAAGCAATGAAACTTCAGGGTGTAGATTCAGAAAAGGGTCTCTATTCTGATATGAACCGACACTCTGAGAATTGGTTGAGCACTTAACTTGAGGCAAACTTGACTTATAGGTTACACCCATAAAACCGTACTTCTCCTCAGACTACTTTTAAGCTGCTAACTCTTCCCAAGTGATTCTCCATTCCTAAGCGACCCCCAAGCCTTGTCAGTACCCCCACCGGGTTTCGAGTATCAGGAAGGGTAACATAATTCGATGCATAAGTCGCCATCATGTAAACGCTGAGACTTTAAATCTCAGAGACAGGTAAGCTGATGAATGCCAATCTTTTAGAAACCCACTTTCTCTCCCAACACCTAATTTTCAAAAAAAACCAGGTAATTCTAAGAAACCATATAACATAGCAGATGGATAAAATATCGACGTTTAACTAAAAGCATATCGAACAGAAACCACACAAGCTTCATAGCGCACATTACAATCCCAGACAAATAATTACAACCCAAAATGCAAAACCCAACAATATTATACAAAATTCACTGTAACTATGAGTTTAAACAGCAAGCAAGAGTTTAAACAGCAAGCAAGCAGAAACGCAGAACAAATGGAAACCCAATTTTCAGGAGAAACAAGAAAGGTACTGAAAATGGCAGCTGTTTACCAAAAAACCAGATAATTCTAAGAAACCACTAAACATAGCAGATTAATTACAAACACTCAGAGACCAGCAAATGCTAAAACGTCAATAGTCAACTAAACCAAATCAAACACATACCCACAAACTTCATAGCACGCATTACAATCCCAATCCCAGAAATAATTACAACCCGAAAAGCGAAACCCAACAACGACTATGCAAAATTAAATGTAACCATGAAGTTAAACAGCAGCAAGCAAGCAGAAAACAATGAGAAAGAAGCAAACCAGAGAAATGTAAAACCCCACAAACTTCGTATCGCACATTACAACCCCGAGACAAAAATCACAACCCGAAAACCGAAACCCAACAACAATTCTACAAAATTCAATGTAACCATGAAGTAAAACAGCATCAAGCAAGCAGAAAACAATGAGAAATGAACAAGCCAGAGAAATGCATTACAAAGGGAGACCCTCTTTCCAGAAAAAAAAAACAAGAAGGAAACAGAGAAATGGGCAGCTGGGGTTTCAGAGGAAGCTAACAACCAGAGAAATCCCAAGAGACCTTGGATGCAGAAACAAAAGAACCCAAGGGAGCATCTGGGGGCGCCGAGCCCAAAGAGTCAGAAATTCAGTCTCTTTAAAACCCTCAGTCGGATTTGGACTAATGATTGCGAGCTGTTTGTGATAGAGAGGCGGGGGAAGTGGTAAAGGAAGCAACAAACCTACTAGAAAATTGAGGAATCTAGTTGATTGGGGAACCAAATTGTTTTGGCTTTTTCAGGTGAAAGGCATGTGGGTGCGGGCTCTTCTGAAAGCAACACACGGTTTACACAGAGTCTTGCAATAGCCCTTATCGTTCGGGGACGAGGGTTTAATTGATGGGCTTTGTTTCTTACTGCTTTAAGTTCTTCTGTTCATTAGTTGGGCCCAATTGTAGAGTCTAAGTGAGCATACGAAATGAGGAGATAATCTTTGTTTTAGGCTATCATCTAATATGTTCGATCACCTAATATTAATACGTTATTCGTATAAACATGTTATTTATATTTTGATTATCGATACCTCAACAATATACTTGTCGATAAAAATCTACATGGGACGACATGAAATCCTCCTATTAACTTGATGAGTTATTATTAAATTTTAAATCATAACCGTTCAACTTTCAGTACGCTCATTGATTTTGGATAAAAAACTTGCAGGAAGTTATGTTCAGTAATGTTGGTCACTAGTTAACCACATTGTTAGGTTTCACATTAAGTGCGCTACAATGATGACACATAAGGCTACTTACAGTAGATCGAAAAATTTGAATTTAATTCTTGTTTTTTATTTTTTATTTTTTTTTATGGAAAAAAAATTCAAATTTAATTCTTATGAGTTGATGAAACTCATATTATATAAGAATCAAAATCAAAGTGTCTAAGCGTACTAACTCATATACCACACAAATCGCTGTGGAAGGCCTAACGAAACCACAAAAATGTTATTTACCAATTTTACTCGTTACGTTGTTCATTAAGCGTAGTAAGAAGAATCTCGCTTAATAGAATAAATTATGTTCAAAACCGACTCAACCTTTCCCGTTACAGGGAGTTCCAATCTTTTCAATTTTGTATATGACCTTTATGTGACTTATATTATTAATTGATACGTATTTATAAATTTAACTTACATTAACAGATTACACGTATCAATCAACGATTGAGACTATACTAAGCCACACACATAAAATGAGTGCAGCCTAATTTCCGTCGATCAGCGTGTCCACGGAAACATCCAGAATCTAGTTCAGACGCAACGTGGAGCGGTGCGAAACGACGAAACTACCCCGGCACGAGTTCACCACGGGTCTGCCTTTAGATCGCAGAGTGACATCTGGGAAGAAGAACAGACGTTACAATCTCACCGATGGCTTCGCAAATTCTGGCGGCGGCAGCCGAGAGGGTCGGACCGGCGGCGAGGCGACAGGCCGTGAGCTTGACAGACGCGGCGGCGAATCGTATACGGCAGCTCCTAGAGCAGCGCCGGCGGCCATATCTCAAGCTCGGAGTCAAGGCCCGCGGCTGCAACGGCTTGTCCTACACTCTCAATTACGCAGGTACGGCGGCATTTTGATCCTGATTGTTAAATTTTCTTCTTTTTCATCAATTTTGATAAGTTGAATTATGAATTTCGTGAATTTATTTGCTCCAATTTCTTCCTGTGTAGATGATAAGGGGAAGTTCGACGAATTGGTGGAGGATAAAGGTGTGAAGGTTTTGATTGATCCGAAGGCTCTGATGCACGTCATAGGAACGAAGATGGATTTTATAGATGATAAACTCAGGTAACTCATCTCTTCCTCTCTCTTTTTTCCCCAATTTTTCCTTTTTTTTTTTGGGTGGATTTGTGGAAAACTTATTAGCATGTTTGGATTCAGAGAAATTGTTTGGTTTTGATTTGAATTGGGCGTGTGTAAATCTTTGTTTTTTTTTAGGTAAAGAAAATGAACTTGTGCTGTGTTAGAAATGGATTAGTTTTCCATTTTTGTAATTATTTCCAGTGTCAATTTAGTATTAGGATGTTAAAATTGCGCATCGTAAGGATAATGGGTCGTCGAATTTCGGATTGAATTTTGTGGAGAATATAGAGTTATTTTTTCACTTTGAGATGAACCAAGAGTCTTCAAAAGAGCCAAAAGTGCTTTTGACTACGTTTGGCAGAAAAACTTCAAAGCGTTTTTTGGGTTGTAGAAGCACTCTTTAGTGCTTTTACTTATGAGCAGAAGTCGTTCCTACATAGCAATCCCAAATAAGCGCTTGGAACCATATGACAATCAGTAAGCCAATGTGCTGCAATTGACCATTTTTTGGGGGGTGGAAATTTCATATTTATGGTGGGTGTATTGCCATTTATCAACTCTAACATCATCCCAATGGAGCCCCGCTACCTTATACAAGACCTAGACTGATGCTGCTTAGCGCTGCTATAAACAACATCAGCTTTAGGTCTTCACCCACCTTAACTAATGATATTAAATTTGCCCATAATGTCGCCTTCGCCGATGGTCAGCTTTCCATTCCTGTCCTGACTACTACTGTATGACCATTTCATTAAGACCCACAGATGACCCTGATTTAGGGCATCATCACCTCCACCACTGCTGCCATTAGTACTTCAACCTCTGTTTACTGTTGGATGCGTGTGTTGTGTGCATTCAATGACAAATTGAATGTGCAGTTTAGAAGGGTTTTAGTGAATGCTTCAAGTGGCTTTCTGTGTGCGTGTTAGGAGAGATAATGGTGCATGTTAGAAGGGTTTTAGTGAATGCTTCAAGTGGCTTTCCATGTGCGTGTTAGGAAAGATAATGGTGCACGTTAGAAGGGTTTTAGTGAATGCTTCAAGTGGCTTTTCATGTGCATGTTTAGGAGAGATAAGGGTGCATGTGTGTCCATTTTTACATAAGCAGAAACCAAACCATGAAGAAAGATGATCTGCTAATATTATTTTGCTTGTTTTATCTCGGTATATTTTGTTTGCTTGAATTTGGGAACCTTAAGCAGCCAAATGGCATGGCATTTATGCCCCTTGTCGATCTGATGATTCGTTGTAAATTTAACCACCTTTCATTTGTTCGTGGGGCAATGGTACAATATGACATGACATGCTTTGGGCATTCTTCTGTTGGTGTTTATGCCGTTGGTTTCACAACTTGCTTTTGCCTTCTTACTCTCACCTTCCTGGTTCCGCTCACACCTAATTTATTTTCTTTTGGCAGGTCTGAGTTCGTATTCATCAATCCCAACTCTAAAGGACAGTGTGGCTGTGGGGAATCTTTCATGACAACAGACGGTAGCGGAGCTACCAAGAAGGTATAAAGAATCGTGTGGCCAGCTTGTGATGATCCAACACTTTCACTGACTAATTATTCGTGTTGGCGCTGGCGGGAGTCATAGTAGCCTCTGCTAACTCGGGTCGTAAAGTTTGCATTCTTCTGTAAAGATATTCCAATTTTGTTTGGAAGAACACAATGTATATCAATACAATTATGTGCTTCTTGAAATTTTATGAACTTTTGTAATGTCAACATGTAGAAGCTGCTGAATTGTGGAAATTGTGTCGGCGAGATTATCAATATTTTCCTCAACTTTTTTTTTACCATTCTTTACTTAATACGTGAAATGACTTAGGTTTGAATTTCATAAATGACGACTTTGATATCAATTTAATCTCCTACTCTTTGGTGTAATTCTATCGTTGAATAAAAAAAGGTTACGGATCTTACTTTGCTTTTTTAATATCGATTATAATTTTCTTCGCACTATGAGGCATTTTGTTTTTTAGTGATATGAGCCATGTTGATTATAATTTTCTTCACACTACGAGGCATTTCTATTAATATTGTGTACGAGTTGTTTGTCGTCCACATTCGTTTAATTTTTAATCTCCATGTAGAATATGCTGTCAAATTCTGCGCTTTTTTCAATTTTCAAACAATTAATAGAATATGTTAATTATCAGTTGTCTGTCGTTCACATTCGTTTAGTTTTTTTAATTTTTCTATAGATTATGTTTTGAAATTCTGTTTTTTTCCAATTCTCCAACAATCAACAGTTGTTAGTCGTCTACATTCGTCGACAATAACACAAATTGTTGATCTCCTTATGGAATGCAACTTTTTTCGCATTTGTAAGAAGGTGAGGTAGAATATAGGATTCATGTAATGGGGACTCATGTAGCATATTGGATTGGGAAAAAAAATGTAACATATTTGCTTTCCAATTTCAGAAATTAAATTTCCATATTCTCACGCGTAATTACTCTCCACTTTCCCGCACGTGCTAGAAGAAGACCTGGCGGCTTCCCTCTCTTCTCATCGCAGACTCTTCTTCGTCTTCTCCGCGGTCTCGTCTTTCAGACCAAGCAGCTTTTGGCTGGTTCGTTTCTCCACTCGTTTTTCCAAAACCATCGAATCCTGCATTCAAGTTTCTCCCTTTCTCTGATGAATGGGATGATAGTGATCCCGTTGACATGGAAATTTTGGATTTTGATTTGCTTCCACAGGTAATGCCGCCCTAATTTTCTCTCTGTTTTACCCATTGATTATCTCTGTATTGAGATCATTTTTATTCAATTCCGTTTTTATAGATTTTTGGGTTCTATGTGTTTTTACTCGATTTTTAGTAGATTGATGATAAGCTGTTGAAATTTGTTTGAATAATTGAATTGGGTTTAATTTATTGAGTTTGTTTGCATGGTTTTCCGTTGAATTGATGTTGATCCGGTGCAAAATCTGCCAACTTTGGAAATTGTTGACTTGTTTGTAATGCCCAAAGTACCGGATTTTTCCAGTTTCTACTAGCTAATCTTTGCTTTCCATGCTTAATTGTAGTGACAATTACTGCTTGATTAGTGAAAGTCCAAAATATTGATCTGAATTTTTACTTGTATAGATGATGTCGTGACAAATCCCGAAAAGATGGCAGATTGGTGTTTGACATGGATGGATCTTGGTTTTTCTTCTGTTTTGTGATAAACCCAGATGGAAGGTTTAACAATTCTGGATGGCTAATTGTGTGGTGAGGATTTCTTTAAAGTTGGCTTCTTAATTTTCTTAGGGTACTTTGAACTTTGAGAACAAGAGCTTTCCTTGGTTTTCGTTAATTTATTGGGTATATGGAGCACCTTCCCGTTGAAGTCATAGGTAACATTCTATCCCGGCTAAAAGCTGCCCGAGATGTTGTGATTGCATCTGCGACGTGCAAGAAATGGAGAGAGGCTTGGCGGAATCACCTCCACACTCTTTCTTTCAATTCCAATGATTGGTCCGTCTATCATGATCTGACAACAAGTAGATTGGAAATTCTTGTAACTCAAACAATATTCCAAACCAAAGCATTGCAGTGTTTGTCAATTTTTATGGATGATGTTGATGAATTTTCAGCCGCCCCAGTGATTGCTTGGCTCATGTATACCCGGGACACCTTGCGGCAACTACATTATAATGTGAGGACTACTCCGAATGTGAATATCATTGAGAAATGCGGTCGGCAGAAGCTTGAAGTCTTGGCATTGGCTCATAATTCTGTAACAGGTGTTGAACCCAGTTATCAGAAATTTCCATGCTTGAAGTCACTTTCGCTAAGTTATGTCAGTATCTCAGCATTGGATTTGAGCCTTTTGCTTACCGCATGTCCAAAACTTCAGAATTTGGCTCTTATTAATCCTGATATTGCCATGTCAGATGCACAGGCAACTATGGAACTTAATAGTCCTTCACTGAAAAATATCTACGTGGAAGCTGTCAGTTTGGATAAGTTCATACTAGAGGCCGATAGCATTGAGAATCTGCACCTGAAAGATTGTACCCTTGAGGTTTTTGAGCTTATTGGTAAGGGGTCACTGAGTGTTTTGAAGATCGATGATGTTAGCGTCCTCCATCTTGATATTGGGGATAACACAGAGAATCTTCAGATTGTGGATGTTAGCAGCTTCACGATCATGTGGCCAAAGTTCTATAACATGATCTCAAAATCATCAAATTTAAAGAGGCTTCGGCTCTGGGGTGTTGTATTTGATGATGAGGATGAGGTGGTGGATTTGGAGACTGTTTCTGTTTGCTTCCCTCAGTTAACCCACTTATCATTAAGTTATGATTTAAGAGATGTTTGTGGCTTGCAGGGGTCATCTTCTTTGGAGAACGTGGTTGTGTTAGAACTCGGATGGACTATAATCAGCGAGCTCTTCTCCGACTGGGTAGCAGGACTTCTAGAAAGATGCCCTAATTTGAAGAAGTTGGTCATTTATGGGGTGGTCTCAGAAGCCAAATCCCATGAAGAGTGCCAAGTTTTAGCAAGCTTCACCTCGTCCATTGTCCGGCTGATGAGAAAATATCTGCATGTAGAGGTTCAGTTTGAATACGAATAAAAGTCCTGCTGACTGCATTGGTGTCTATTCAAATATTGGTTGCACCTGATTGTACAATAAGGTACATGGCAGAACTTCACAAGAACACAGATTCTATCATCCTCATATTAATCTGAAAATGGAGACCCCTTAATTTCGTACAAGATTATGCGTGCAGCGTGGTGAGAAATTGTAAATTTACAGATTAATTTTGAAATCAATTTGTCTGTTTATCTCTGGCTTGTGTTTGTTTCATAATAGTCAAATGGAAATTTCATATGTTGAAGATTATTTTGGGTTGAAGCCGTTTATGGTACTCTATATGGCTACATTCCTGAATATGGTGCGTAGGTTTGGTATGATCTTGTTGCCCCCTTGCTTGAACAGGTGAGCTCCTCTACTTCCATAATTCAATGTCGGGTTGAGTTTTAATCACTAGATGATTGAGTATGAAAAGTATACTTCATCACCTGTTTAGTCGAGATTAGAATAGAGATCCTCACTGTGGATTGAATTTGTACTGTATATTGTTTGTTTGAATTATGATTTCTTGTATTGCATTCTCTTTTAAGTTATCTCATAGTATGACTATGTAAAAAAAGGGATCATTTTTTGGACCGAAAATCTCAAATCCGTTCGTAGTAGCTTGGATTTGTGAGGACATGAACATTCCTGCACTTTGTGGCATTGAAATCACTCGGCAATGTTTCGCTTAAACTCAAGGGAACCTTCAGGTTGCAGTTGATGTTGCTAGGACCATAATCTGGTGACTTGATCTTTCCGAACCTGGCTCTTACCCGAAGAGAAATCTTCACATCAATACTGTAAACACCAGCAGCAGTCTCCGCGTTAAACTGGGAGAGGTCACGTTCTCCAAATACCGCCAACTGCTGACCTTCAACGAGTACATGATTTAAAATGGTCGTGTTCTTATGCCCTTGGTAAAATGGCGCCCAAGGCAGTGTCACATTAGCAAACCTCTTTTTTCTATGGTTGGCAAAGACTTGGATGCGGCGGTAATATATGCCAACCCTTTTGTTGGGGTTTCGGATGGTGATGTTGAGCGCGAGATTGTAGTTGAGAGTATTGTCAGTGTCGGTGAAATTGAATTGGGTTAGCACTCGATTAAGCTTTTTCGTAAGTACAAAGCCGAAATCCACCCTTTCGTCTTATATACAAGACAATACCTCATCTGCAACTCCATCTGGTACCATTTTTCTTGTTTTCTTTCGTCTAATGGCTCCAAGGGGCGGCACCCGCTGCCTCTACTTCCCCTGCAACGCCTTACTCTGCCTCGTCCTAACCATGTTCATATTCTGGTTGATCTTCCTTCCCAAAGACCCTCAATTCACCGTCTCCAATGCCTCTCCATTGACAGAAGGTATGTATATCTAGCAATTGACTTTGTTGGAAATGTCAAGAGGAACATCCAAAGAGTCTGAGGGAACTTCCAAAGTTGTTCAATCCTCTTAACTTCTCCGCGATCAGGCGGAGGAAAAGGACCTTCGATACTTGCTTGAAGTAGTTCCCAACCCTTTTAACTTCTCTGCTTGTTTTTCTTTTCTGTGTTTTCTTCACCCGTTAACTTATGGTGGACGGACGCTCTAGTCGCAGTTGAACAAGCCAGCTGACACCTATTTAAATATTAAAGGAAATGGAATTAAAGATGAAGATTAAGTGGGAGTAATGGGCATAAAGGCTACCTAAAGAGTTACAATTGTTTTACCATTTCCTCTCACTTATTGTCATCACACTAAATGGCTGTCAGTGGGGTGAGTTATGGAGAAGAAACTGAGGCAGCAAGCAAGAACAAAAAAGCTGCATGTTGCAGCGGCAAAGGAGGGAAAAAAGAAAAAAAAATGGAAAGGTGCAGCTAACGAAAATAGGAGGGAAGAAAGCAACGCAACAAGAAGTTGGACGAGTAAGAGGGAAGAAGGAGGAAATTTTGGCATTCTCTTCTTTCGGTTTTATCTTCTCAAACCCATGTCTTTCTTTTGGTTTAATTTGAGAATAATGTGTAACTAAATTTTTAGTAGTTAGGGGCTGTTTTGAACCCAAATATGATTGCAAATGTGTTATGACATTTCGTTTGAATTACTTTTATAAATGGATGAAAATTGGTTCACTACTTATGTTAGTGATGAATTCTTTATGTGTTTTCTACGGATGCATACTTAGTAAACATATCTAGAATTCTAATGCTATGAATATGTGTGTGCCTGCCCTTGTCGAATGAGGACCTACATATGTTCTAGAGTAGTACTTGTTAATTTTGATTAACATGTGAACCAAAATCTAGGATAAGTAAGACAACGCTAGTACTTACGATACCTTGTGATGACTCAAACTCTTTTCGTTCTTAATGATTTCTACTTGTTAAATCTATGAACACGCCATCCTAGATTGCATGCTAGGGACTAAGTTAAGTTGAAAATGTCATTCTCTTAACATACTACATAAGAAAGAGTAATAGGTTGAGTTCTAACAGTGAGCCAAACTTGAACATCTTCATTCATAAATAAAAGGAATTTGAATGAAACATAACATGTTTGCATGATTATTTGGTGGTGGATAACAATTCCCCTAACTCGTTTTTCTTAATTTATGAACTACTTAAAATCTGTTTCTGTTCTGTTTTTGTTCGATTTAATTTAAATAGCAAATCAACTCCAAAAATCCCAAAAATTTGTGTGAGTCTAGCTCTGTGTGTCTAGTGTTTGCGTATAAATTTTCATAAACTTTAGATAAGTGTAAGTTGGTCTAATAATTATTTTTCGATGGCTGGTTAGTAGGGGCAACAACCCAATTTTTGTGACATTTTAAGTAGTTACATAAAACAATCTTTTGCGAGAAAGATCCTTATATTCATATGCTACATTTGTATGCTACTTTGTGGTATGCTTTTAATTCTATCACGTTTGCAGCAGGAAAACTGGTGCTGGCAGTGGCGATTGAAAAATTTTGCCAATTCAATTTTTTTGGAATGAGCATATGACCAGGATTATTTGAATGATGAACATAGTATGGGTTTGATGAATCCATACCAATATGGCAATTGGTTTAGTTGTTTTGTGGTGGTGGTTGAACTAATGTGTCTGACATAATGTTTATGATGATTGGAAAAAAAAAATGATGAGGGTTGAAAACGTAGGCTATCACGCACCAGGACCTTATGCTCTGCATACCATGTTAAAATGGCTGAATGAAGAGGAGTGTCAGATTGAATGATTTTGTGTATATCATTGACAGAGTACATCGGACAATATATATGCAACTAAGTCAACTAATCAACCCTACATTAATGGCTAGGAAACAATGACCTACATTTAGTGGGATTTGACTCAAACCTGTTTAGGTAAATATATTACAAAATGTATTACATATAATATCGTATAATATTTCCTAATAGACTTTTACCCGAAGAGGAAGCCACTCATTAATACTGTAAACACCAGCGGCAGTCTCCGAGTTAAAACATGGAAATGTCGCTTTCCCCAATGACCACCGATCCCTGACCTTCGACAAGTACACTATGCAAAATGGTAGTGTTCTTGTGACCTTGGACAAACAGCGTCGAATTCAAAGTCACTTGGGCAAACGTCTTCTTTCTGTAGTCAGCAACGACTGGGATGCGGCAGTAGTATATCCCAACCGTTTTGTTGGGATTTCTGATGGTGATGTTGAACGAAAGATTGTACGAGAGAGTGTTGGTGTCGTTAGTGAAACTGAATTGCGTTAGGTAATCATTGGTGATGGTGAATTTTGGCTCTTCGGGATGGAAGACGAGCCAAGATATGACAACGGCTAGCCCTAAGTAGATAATTATATAGGAGCACCAGCATGTGGTGATGTCGACCAGACCGGTCGAGTAGTTGTTTATAAGAAAGAAGTTGAAATTAATAAGCAAATATCCTAATTATATCGTTATATTAAAAAAAAAAAAATTATAAAACAATTAAAGTGTAACAAAATAATGATAAAAAAAAAATAAAAATTCCAGTCGGCAACCAAGGACAGATCCACATAGGGACCAGGGAGGTCCCAGGATCCGTCAGCAATCCTAAATCGTTGCTATAAATTTTCCGGGGACCCCTCGTACTCGAGCATGAGGTCTGTATAGGTTATAGTGGCTGTCTTCTTCTCGGAGAAGATGACCGCTCACAGAGAAGAAAGAAATAGGAACCCTTCCTGCCTCTCTCCTCCTTGCTTATGCCATGGTCTCATCCGTTGGTGCCACCCACTTCTCCTCCAACCTTTCTCTGTCGTCTGGCGGGGGCAGTACATAACCCCAAACTTTCCCAAATTATTTCAACCATCTTAGTAGTTTTTCTTATGGGTGAAATTTCCTTCATAAGGTTAGTAAGATGGATATGATCTGTCATGGGTTGGTGAAATTTGGTGGTGGAGCTACCATTACTTTGGGAGAATGGGGAGGGAGACGGTTGGTGGAGGTATGACAGCTTTGTTCTTAGTGAGAGAGAAGGTGGATGTTTGGAAACTAGTAAAAGAGAAAAATGGTTGTTTGGTTAGAAAGATAGTGGGAGTTTGGGGAGAGTTTTATTTGACCGGTGTTTTAAATTGGGGTGTGCTATCCACACACCCCTTTTTACTTCATACACACACTCTTAATTTGCGACCATCGGATCGACTGAATTAAAGAAGATCAAATGACAGAAATAAACAAAGGGTGTGTGAGAAGCAAAAAGGGGTGTGTGAATAGCACAACCCTTTAAATTTAGTGGTTCATATTAGATAATCAATAACTTAGGTACTCCTTAGTAACTTATGAAACCTCGTAATGGACACTTGAATTATGATTTTATAATTTGTAATATTGTTTTGCATATGATTTTTGAATGAAATGTATTATATTTAAATTTTCAATGTTATTTTTGTCTATAAATTTTTTGACCTTTATAATTGGGACCCACCGAGTTTAAAATCCTGGATCCGCCACTGTCGGCAACCACCAGCCGATCTCCTTGTACCCACCATTACCACCTCCTCCCACCCTTGAGACCCATCAACCACCATATCCGGTCCTCCCCCTCCCCACACACAGAGACTCCTCCTTCCCCTCTCTCTTTGTTATTCTAAAATCCCAACAATGCAAGGAACGAAGAAACAAAAAGAAAGTTTGCAGAGTAAACTGATAATAAAAGAAACGCTTCTCTGATGCAGAATGTGGGGGGAGAGAGAAAGAGAGATTTGTGATGCTGGAAGAGGGTTAGGTCATTGGGGTAGCAGAGGGTGGGGCCAAATCTGGTGGTGGGGTTACGGTTGAGGGAGATGAGGTTAGGGGGAGGATGTCGTAGGGGTGGGTGATGGGGTGCGAAAAGGAAGTGGTGGTGTCTGGGGTTTTTTTTTATATTCTTTTCTTCGATTTGTTTTTGTTTAATCATTTATCTCAAGTTTAAGGTCTATTGCAACCTCATACAACATCTTCAAAACATTTCACTTTTATACCTCACGTACTATTTTATTTCAGTATAATACATCTGTAACATTTTTCACCCATTGATCCGCTAAGAGCTGACGTGGCTATCACATTTGTGCCACGTGGCATTTTGTTTTTATACATTAAAAATATTATAATATTTACCCTATTAAAAAAAACAAAACAAAACGAAAACCAGAAATCGTCTTCCCCAGTCATCACCCACCCCCAAAAAACCCACTAGAGCCCATCCCCTTCTCTCATCCCCCATCACCCCTCCCAAAAATCCCCTTCTCAGTCCTCTCCTCACTCACCATTTTTGATAGCTTCTCCGCTCTTTTTCTTCTTCTCTTTCTAGGAGATGAGCTTCTCTGTGAAGCCTCAAACCTTAACCCTAATCTCATGCACTCCTCTCTCTTCTTCTTCTTCTTCTTCTTCCTCTTCCTATCACCGATCGATTAGTAAAGACGCTCACCGGTGGTCTCTGCTCCCACAGAAAATGCATGAGCTTGGACGAAAGGGGTGGGCTCGGGTGGGATTTTTAGGCGTGGCGAAGGTTCGGGAAGGAGTTTGAGGAGAGAGGATGAGGGAGGGGGTTAAGGGACGTGAGGTCACCAATGTGATCGAATTCAAGGGATTCGGGGAGAGAGCAGTTTAGGGTTAGGTCTCCGGGAGGTCGGGGTGGGGTTGGGGGGGGGGAGTTCCGAGGGAGTTGGGAGTGGGGTGGGTTTTTGGATGGGAGGGGAGGTGAAGTGAGTGGAGGAGAGGAGATGGGTTGGGGGGAATGGGTTTCAGTTTTTTTATTTTATTTTATTTTTATTTTTTTAATAAGGTAAATTATTATAATATTTTAAATACATAAAAAATTAATTTTTTGCCACATGGCACGAATTTGGCAACCACGTCAACTCTTAACTGACCAATGGATGAAAAATATAACAAATGTATTATATTGAAATAAAATAGTACGTGAGGTATGAAAGTAAGATGTTTTGAAGATGTTGTATGAGGTTGCAATAGACCTCAAACCTGAGGTGGTAAAGTGTAATTTACCCTTTTTTTATTTAATATGTAAAATTACTAGAATGTTCATGCCAAGTCAGCAAGTTAGCAGTTTATGTGACGAAGTTTAACGAACAAGGTAAAATAAGACACAAAGTATAAATACAAGGAGTAAAGTTAAACAAAATAGAGTGCATGAGATAAAATAAAATGTTGTGAAATGTACAAGTGTCATATAGAGCTAAAAATAAGAGTTTTTAACAATATAAACTTTAGAGAGAATAGTAAAATATTTCTATACTCTTTATCAGAAGAGAACAACGAGCCTTGAAGTACAAAAGCCTGATCGAGGGAGAGGTACATATATAACACAAATATAGGGAAGACGTTGTCATGATCAGAGCCTTCAAATTTGGGAAGAAACACATGAAAACTGCGAAATAATTGTCTAAAACCCAAGTCATTTCTGCCAGTTGTAACATTGTGTCCGGGCTCCATATCCTACCTTAGTGGAAGATCTTGTCATTGTCACTTGGATTTTCCATTGAAACCACAAAAGACTAGAAATCAGTTCTCGAATGCTGATCGAAAAAATTCTCTACCCAATCTGCATCAAAATAGGCATTAAGTTACATTATTTTTTGTCATGTATTTCTAAGAGTTGAGTAACATATGATGTGATATAGAGGGATATGCATGGATGAATTTCAGTTTAGATTTAGTTTTTAAATTAGTAGTTGATTAATTACTGTTCTTGCCTCGATATATATTAGGGTTTTCTCATTTAACGTAAGTGTGAATATAGACAGAATTGGAACTTTGTAAGAGAAACGTAGAAACGTATATTCATGTACATTACCTTTTATACGTGGTCCTCGATGACTCCAATCTACAAATTACATCTTTATTCCTTTACTAGTGCTTCCAGAAACCTGCACAAATCATCATATACTTGGTTAAATAAAAGTTTAGAAGTCCATAGAATAATCATATTTAGTTAGTTTAGGGACGTTCAAAAACTTAGAGCCAACCCTACAGAGAAAGGGCAACAACAGAGAAACTTTCTTTAGGAACTATTAATGGACACCTAAAAAAGTCATCATGCAATCATCTCGAGAAAATTTCTCTCCTATATTTTTCATAAACGGCGAGTGCATATAATGACTTTAGAACATTTTTTTTAATTTATTATTAAGGAGAAAGGGAACAATGGCGTAGCCAGGAATTATTCGGTAGGTGGATTAAGCTAAAATTAATACTACGAAATTAAATTTTTAATCTTTTGTTGCCTACATAATGTTATATAATAGTAAACCTGAAAGTAATAGTTTGAAGCAAGAAATTTATACTATGTTTTCTAGGCTTCTAGCCTCAAAACTTTTAAGTAAATAAAAAAAGGAACTATTTTTTTATATGGAAGTTTTAATTTATTATTATTAAATTATAATATTGGTTAAAGTGATGAGCTTATTTAACATTTATAATTTATTAGCTCTTATTTTTCTTAAAAACAGCCTTAAGATTCAAAATTTTCATTTGCAAAGTGAAATATAACAATTAAAAATCACAAAACATCCCAAAAGATTAATACTTTTAAGCTTAAAGAATTAAAACTATCCTATGCTATAGCCTAGGTGAGCCTTGTACTTGGCTCCGCCAGTGAGAGGAAAGGGTTCGAAACTACTACAATAAGTAGAGGAGGGGAAAGTTTCGAACTCAAGATGTATGGATAGAAGTCCAACATCCTAACTACAAGGATATTAGACCACATGAGACTTTAGAAAATAAATTGTAATAGTGAGGGACCAATTACAACTAATTTTTCTTTTCTAGTCATTTGCATACCAGAAAGGTGCATACTCATGATATCTGTAGAACATATTTCTCTACAATTTTTAGATTAGCACCCGTTACCAGCCAATTGCGACATTTCTTGTTAATAGCCTGTTGGTCATAGCATTCAAAAGTTAGAAATGGAAAGAGGAGTAGACAGATGCAAACCTTTTCGCAATCGGTACTCTCAAATTTGTCAGAAGATTTTCCCTTGGAATTTATCAAGGGAACCTTCAACTTGCATTCCACCTTATACTCGTTAAAAATATCTACCTTAGTAAACCTGGACAGAACCTTAATTTTGATCTTCAAAACGATATCAAAACTCGTACCACCCTTAATTTTTGAAGCCACATCCCCCTTAAAAGACTTCTGGCCCTTGAACACTAGTGGAGTCACTGCACTTGTCTTCGTGCTGGCTACATCGAATGTGCTCAAACTAACTGCACTTAAATCCTTGTCATCATAAGTAGCAACAGCTTCAAATTTGTCATACTTGTAGTCAAAATTTTTTTCACGATTTTCGACGGTTATGTTGGCAACTAGGTTGTATTCGAGGGTTTTTCCAGACCCCGTACCAAACTGCGTCAACGCGGCATCAGTCACCTTGTAGCTCGCTTCTAATGAAGGGCCTAGTTTATCCCGAAACACGAACAGAACAGCGATGCCGATGAAGAAAAGACCCAAGAAAAGGAGGCAGCAGCAGCAACAACATTGTTTAGAACCCATAGCTGATCGAGATCCAAGGGACAGATTTTGAATTAATTTAAATTTTGAACGAAGTGCAAAATATTCTTTTCTATTTCGTTGATCTTCCGGCAAACACCAACCCGCAAAATTTAACCACCAAGACGAGAAGGCCTGCTAACCGGACATTTTATTTTTACATGCCAAAGTATAAATATGGCATTGAGGATATTATACGCGGATACTACGAGTATTTTGAAAACTCATCCCGTTTTAGTGTATCTAATTTGAGGAATGGCTAGTTTTGAGGCCGACCATACAATTTAATTAGTTTTAGTACCTTATCTTGAAAATGCCAAAGTAGGCTATTGAAAATCTCTTAAATGTAATAATTACTTGTTCTTTAAACTTCATGCCATCCACACCCTCAAGGAGAGACAAGCTCTGATGGACTCTCGAGAAATACTTACATAAACAAAATCGGTGATTGCTAGTTGTTGAAATCGATGATTGCTAGCCGTTGATGTATTTGACTAGTTTCTAAATAAGATGACTCTTGAAAAATACTTTTTGTTGGGATAATTATGATATTCCTCTAAGAAGCACGTAGATGAGCATCTCCAATGGAGATGTAAAAAGATACATGTCAACACTACTACAATATATGCTATCACCGGCGGAGGACAAACCGACGAGAAATCAAATTTCTGTCGAAAATTTGGCACAAATCCGACATTAAATAATGTAATGTCGCTTTTCAATAGCGACACTATTGCTAGGGTCGCGAAAGGGCTTCAGCGTCGCTTTTTGAGCTTAATCCGCCACTACACAGTGTCGCTTTAAAGCGACACTAACCTTAACGTCGGTTTAAAGCGATGCATACTTACACGTGCATCAGCTATTTAATAATAAAGTATGTAGTATACTGTCGCTTTAAAGCGACATTATATTAAAATGAAATAAATAAAATATTCCTTAAACCGACGTTAGATAACAATTAAATAAATAAAATATAAAATCTAGTAACGGTCTTAACCGACACTATATTTGTTAATAATAATAAAAGTAGATGGACAACTGCATGCAATTTCAATTAATTCCAACCAAAATAAATTATATAATCAAAATTATAAATTTTAAGATCAAAATAAACATTAATGAAAATAAATAACAAAAACAATAGTGCCAAACTGTACATCTAACATTTCACATAAAATCCAAAAAGTCGTCCATCGTAACAAACATTAAATCCGACATTACAAACATAACATAAAAAAACAAAAAGATAGACCAATTATACTGTCGTATTTAACCGACGAGAAAAAGAACCAATTAAACTACCCAACCGAATCTGCGCCTGAACGTCGTCCAGATCCTTCTGCTTGAGAATCTTCTCCTTGAGATCCTCCTCCTTGAGATCCTCCTTCTTGAGATCCTCCATCTGATCCAAAAATCCTCGACAAGTCCACATCAAATCCAACACCTGCAAGCATTCCAGAAAACCCCCCAACTAGAACTTCAGGAAAAGATCCACTAGGAGCAGCCATCTCAGGTCGATATACTGGCACTTGATAAGGTGGCTGCTGCATGTATGGCATGGGCGGCTGCTGCATGTATGGCATGGGCGGCTGCTGCATGTATGGCATGGGCTGCGCAGGCATCGGATACACAGGATATAGAGGTTGCTGATTATGGCCAGCATACGGATATGCAGGGGGAGGCTGACTTTGGCCCGACTGTTGAGGAGGTTGACTGTGGCCTGATTGTTGGGTTCCCGGGCTATATGGTGGTTGTGGCTGAAATCTTTGAAAAAACCATGCAAACAACTGATTTTGCTTGTTCTCTAGGTCCGAAATCCGTTTATTATTATTTTCGTCTCTCATTTTCAACTCATTATTTTGAGTCATTAGCAACGCCATTGAACTCTTAGGTTATATTCTTATATGAAAGGATATTCTTATATTATAAGTTTAGGTTATATTCTTATGAAAGGTTATATTCTTATATTCTTATATTCCTAAATATTATAAGTTTAGGTTATATTCTTATTAGAGTGCAAAAAAAAAAAAATTAACATAATATATTATAATATTACTCAATATTATAAGTTTATGTTATATTTAATATTGTTAATTTAACATAAATGCTTATAAATATTATTCATTCCATCTTCTCATAACAATTTAAATTATGTTCATCTAATCCATTCTAGTAAATAACAACAAAAAATTATCAAAATAACAACAAATTAAAATAACAATTAGAGTGCAAAAAAAAAAAAAATTAACATAATATATTCTTATATTACTCAATATTATAAGTTTATGTTATATTTAATATTGTTAATTTAACATAAATGCTTATAAATATTATTCATTCCATTTTCTCATAACAATTCAAATTATGTTCATCTAATCCATTCTAGTAAATAACAACAAAATATTATCAAAATAACAACAAATTAAAATAACACTTAGAGTGCAAAAAAAAAAAAAATTAACATAATATATTCTTATATTACTCAATATTATAAGTTTATGTTATATTTAATATTGTTAATTTAACATAAATGCTTATAAATATTATTCATTCCATTTTCTCATAACAATTCAAATTATGTTCATCTAATTCATTCTAGTAAATAACAACAAAAAATTATCAAAATAACAACAAATTAAAATAACAATTAGAGTGACAAAATTAATTAATTCGACTAAATTTTTATTAATTTAACAAAAATAGTAGAATTTTATCTAAGTGCTTAAATTATAATTTTTAAATAAATAAACTTGTGTATTATACAATTTAAAAATTAAAGAAGTTAGGGATACAAACCTGATTTGTTGAAGAATTTCGACGTCAACAATTCTTTATGTACTCAACCAACTCCAATAACTTTCCTACAAAAATAAATTGTAACTAAAAATTAAACATAAGAGGATAAAATAAAAATATTATAAGCAAGAAAAACTTACTGTTGTGAAGAGGAACAAATGAATTTTGAAAACCAAAGGAGAAAGCTGAAAGAGAGAACAGAGGAACAAATGAAGTTTGAAAACCAAAGGAGAAAACTGAAAGGAGAAAGCTGAAAGAGAGAACAGAGGAACAAATGAAGTTTGAAAACCAAAGGAGAAAGCTGAAAGAGGAACACGGGAGACTTTGTAAAAATTGGAAGAACGAATAAGAAAAGTGCAAGAGAAGAAAAAGAAAACACGGGGGAGAGGAAATAAAGAGCAACAATGTGTCGCTTACAACCGACACTGGTTTTCAAAATATATGTCGCTCAAAACCGACGCAGGATTTAAAATATTAAAAACAAGAATTAGTGTCGCCTAGAAGCGACACCCATAGTTTATGTCGCTTAAAAGCGACACTATTTTATTTAAAGCGACGCCAGTGCTTAAAAATATTAAAATATATGTCGGTTATAAGTGACACTAAATTTTTACGTCGGTTTAAAAGCGACATAGAAATTTTATGACGCTTATAAGCGACAGTAAATACGACGTCATCTTCAGTGAGTGTCGCAAATCTCTTTTTCGACACTATATAATATTAAACCGACGCAAGAACTGACACTATTAGGTCCTTTTGTAGTAGTGCAAATGTTAATTTGATAGTTGATGTGGATGTCATATTTTGTTTTCCTCCAGCTCATATGTTTTCTTGTTATAATTAATATTTGTAGGATCACATTAAAAAAAAATTTAAGATTTATAATTGGTACATTAATAGGACCAACGACACAATAAAATAATTAAAGAATTAATTGGCAACACCTGTTTATTATGTTAAATTTGACAGGCAATGACTCATACGTCAGTATACGTAGGATAGATATATTAGTTGGAGCTTCTTTTTACCTTTAATTTGATTGCATGACATTCTACTTAGGATTGACGTATCCTTTGAAGATGGTCGTAGACTGAGGTGCGGGTATTTCACTATCTTTAAGAGATTCAACCGATCACTGCGATTTCACGAAATCTACGAAACTAGTAAAACAATATGTCTCCTCTAGTATACATCAGGTCAATTGAATCATTGTGTGATTCAAACCTATCTGTACAAAAGGAATAGTCCAAAACTTCACCACACGAACACCTTTATTTGGCCAGTAAGTAGAAACGAAAAGATGGACGAATACAAAATAATTGTTGTGGAGAGGAATACAAAATAATTGTTGTGGAGAGAAATCGGAAAGATGGACGAATACAAAATAATTGTTGTGGAGAGGAATACCAAATAATTGTTGTGGAGAGGAATCGGATAGTGAGATCATGAATAAAATGATCATGTTGAAAGTACTACTAACTATAGGTTTATTATCACCTTAATGAATAGGATTAGAAGCACAAATTAACAAGAAAAAAATTACAAGAGTTACATAAGATGAAAAGCTAAAAGACACCATCTTAATTTCCAATTACTAAAATAAATAATAACAAACATCTTTTATTTCTACTAACAAGAAATATTAGCAATTATAATTATTTATTTAATATTAAAAATGCACAAACAAATAATGAAAATTGTAATCAATTTATTGAATATAAAAAATGCACCAATCAAGTTATTTATTACCACAGGCTAATGATAATCCTCTTCATTTGTAACCGAAAGGTCTTAAGTTCGATTCTCACTAAAGATGAATTTGAACCACATTATTGCTATTGTGAGGCTAAGTCCACTCCCTCTTATTTAGTGTAAATAATATCGATTGTTAAATAAATAAATAAATAAAATAGACCAACCAAAAGTACGTTTGTATGGACCGCCAAGTCACCGTTATCGACCAATTAACTCGCACAATCTTGAGTACTACTATTGTACAGCTGTTGATACATATAAATTCTCAAATCGATAGCATGCATATTAACATTACTAAATAATTTTTGTTTATATTCTAGAAAAATTCCAATCCGAAAGATGGTAAGTTGAAATCTACAAAAACTACAACAAATTAATGCATAACCATGCCTAGTACATAACTCAAATTTAATATTCAACTGGACTCTACACATTTGACCTATTTGAATCATTCATGTTCTCATAGTCACATAATCTTAACTTGCAGTGGAGCACTCTTAATCATTTGCTTCACCTTGTATCCATTTCAACATCGAGCTGAGCTTGCGCACTTTCGACATCCCTGGGTAGGGCTTCAGTTCTGTCGTGTCCTCAGTGACCTACATGGAAGCTCTTTCTTTAAGCATAGGAAGCTACTCAAAAGTAAGGAAGTTACGCATAATTAACGTATTCGGAAACTGAAAGAAAGGTACAAAGACGGACTAAAAATTTGAAATATGCCTGCATTTACCGTTTCTCAGATAGCATATCACAAACCACAACTATGACTCCTCCTCAACACCCTTAGCTTCTCCTTCACTTTCTGGGCCCTGTTCTGAACTCTCATCTTCATTTCCTCGAAATACTGTAAAAAAGTATTTCAGTTATGGATACGTAATGTGATCAATTAACTCATCGGGTGTGGCAGAACACAGGAATTTACATGCAGTTGCAGACACAAAAAAATATGAAAAATGGTTTCCGACAGTCTCACTTGTTTTGTTGGACAGTCTATGAATCAAGATCGCTTGTAACACTAAAAAGCCTTCTTTTTGTTACTCATAGATTTTTAAAGCAAGAATTACCTGTTGCTTTCGTTTCCTCTCGAGCTCTGCCTGTTCATGTAACTCGATCAGCAGGAGCAATAATTATAAGCAATATCACCACAAGAAACAAAAAGAGTCGGAAAGCTTTCAACACATCGAAATGTTTTTCATGTCATTACCAGCGCCTGTTTAAGGTGTGAGTTCTCTTCTCGCAATTGGTTCAGTTCTACTTCCAGTTCAACTGTGTATGCCTGTAAAAGCAGCATATATCACTCAAACAAAAATTACTGTCACGATCCTTTAAGAAAATGTGATGAGAAATTCTACTATTTACTTTCACTTGGGTATCCACATAATTTTACATGATTCAAAATTTCAAAGTACCAGTTCAACTCTTGCCTAGCAGCTATTGAACTTTTCTGCGAATAACATTCAGACTAGCTACCTGGACTACTCTATTAAGAGCTTGGCAAAGATCATTTCCTAGCAGCGTTGCACTATAAACCGACAACGTTGGATAAGTTTAAAACAAACAAATTGACGCCACTGATCAATCCATCTATAATAACGGGGGCAATGCAACTCTGTTTATTCATCGAGCAACCAAACAAAGGGAACATTTTGCTTCCATATGACTAAACCATTGATGATCAATACACTTCAGTGAATATATAGTCTACTAAAATAGCATCACAAAAAGATATTTAAATTCGACCATTCAAGGCAGCTGAATCATCATAAACAGAAATTAATTAGAATAAACAATTCAGTAGTAGGACCTGAATTGTCAGAAAAGAATGAAATAATGCACCTGTTTTCGGGCTCTAGACCTTGCTGCAGACTCTCTATTCTTAATCATCCTTCTCTGCCTCCTCTCTACCACTTTTTCGACCGCTCCATCTAAACCCCGCTTCCTTCCTCTTAGTCCACCCATTTCCAAACCAAATTGACCCCCAGAGTTCTCAACCTGACTAGTACCCATCCCATCAGAAGACACCGGACTCACAGGAGCCACCATCCCAATTGTCTGCCCTGCTGCATATCCACCACCACCATTCACCACTCTCCCGCCAAAACAAACCGACTGTGGAGGTGGCACTGTCGGGTAAGCCCCATTCCTCTTAGCATTCGCAGCATACGCAGAGGACTCTCCCACAACCGCAGACCCACATTGTGGTATAGTTTGGTAATTAGGAATAACGGCAGCAGTGCTAGTATCTGCTGCACCAGCAGCCCCCATTCCCATCACAGGCCTATTAACAAAACTGGGTACCACCGCCTGGTTGCCGTTCTGATACATCCCATATTGCTGCTGCTGCTGAGGTTGAGGAGGCACCACCGTGGCGGCCATTGAATCCTGTTCCCGAACTACCCCTGCTTTAACCAAAAAATCCTCCAATGTCATCTCCCCAAAAGTAGGCTGGCGAGGGGCAAACTCAGAACTTTGAACACCGCCATTGCCATCGATGCTGCTGTTGTGATTGTTCTGCTGCTTTGCCTGCTGCCCTTTGTGTATCTCAGACCAAACTTCATCCACCGTTTTCCTACACAGTGGCGCAGGCAGCGTGAGTGAGCCTTGACGCGGCAAGCTGGGCTGCGTCGCAATGCGCTTCTCTGCAGAGGCATCGGCTAAAGGCATGTGCACCTCAATGTTGTTCGTGTTGTTGTTAGTAGTAGAAGTGTTGGTGTGATTGGAATTAATGGCTTGGTTTTCTTCGGCTGTCCAAATGCTTGTGAGGAACTCATCCATATTCATCGACCCAAAATTCTTGCCACTCTCGCAGAGGGTGTGCTGAAACTCATCAAGAGTGAGAGAGTAGATTGATGATTGTCTTCCTAATGAGGAGAGAAACTGATTCTTCTCTTGTTCGTCCGATAACAAAGGCGAATCCACCTTGCCTTGGGAGATGATTTCCGACTCTGAAACACCCATGTTTGTGTGATCTACACCTGATTGAATGATGGGTTTCCAAATTGAAGCACATAGGGTAAAGTTATGCAGTAGTTGTCGGTGTTGCAGAGAATAAAGATTTTAGTATTTTGAAGTGTAGACAACTGTGTGACATTAAACGGTTCCTTCAATAAACAAATAAGTCCAATTAAATGTCCCTTTTTTGCTAAGAAACAAAGAAGAAATTATTGACTTCAAATAATGTCAACAAAGCAGAGTACTCAGAATGAATTTAATTGGTTCGTACAGAAAGTACATGACAATTTCATTCATGCAATAGCAACAAAACTATGTGCAACGCACTTTCAGCTCAGGTGAGTGAGAATATTGCATTGAACCTCTCATGCTCATGTGATTGAGAACATTTACCTTGCATGTGCTTGAGATGTTCTATCCACGCAATTAAGAACATTTATAATACACAATGTTCAAGAGGTTTCGTGTTCAAGTCTCTCAAACCAATATAGCTTGCATTTTAAAATATCACGATGAATATCTGTGGCCCCTATGATTATATTTTAAGGACAAATATGCTTGGCAACACCAACCAAAATTAACCAAGGATTAATTAGTGTTGTGCTATTAAAGCATGGGATTAGTGAACAATTGGAGGTTTATATTCACATGACGCATACAAGATAGGTTGGTCCGTATCAAATTATGCATTTCCTAAATAGGAAACAGGAATAGAATGTATGCGGGGTAGATAGCTAAAGCAAAGAGAATCTTTCTTGTTTTATTACTAGTGCACTTCATTTTAGAGTGGTCAATTTTCTATTTCAATTATAAACACCAAAAAAGTCACCAAACATAATATAAAAAAGCCAGAAAGAAGTTGCACTAATTATCTACTTATTTACAATGAGAGAAGTGTTCTTTTACTACAATGGTGGAAAGGTGTTGAGCTCTACATGACGGCATCGTTTCGATAAGTGACTAATCCAACATTTAATCTAATAAAATCTATTGTTTGTCCAAAAAAACAAAACAATGAGAGACTCTTCTACGTGCCTGAAAAGCGGTACACCACATGTTTATTCAAGTGTTGAAATTTATTTTTCAATTGTCCATCCAATTGTGTAATGACATATGATGTATGTGACTTTATTTCAAGCACACTGAACAATCTCACATTAACAATAAACTAAAAAGCAGATTGCATGAAAACTAAAATCACTAACCCCTACTTAACCAACCAATAAGATAACAAATTAATCTTCAAGAAACAGATCCCAGAACAAACACATAAAAATCAACAAACGCATACAAACACAGATCAAAGCAAGAAGAACTATAAAAAAGAAACATATTTAATTTAAATTATATAAACTACTGGAAAGAAAGTTCGAACTTGAGTACATAAAAGAGACTCTACACCGTTTTAGCCAACAAAACATGCAGACTATTGCATAAGAAAACTATTTAAGCTGAAACCCTAAAACCCATGAAAAGAAAAGTACCTTAAGTGAATGTAAATATTGAGTAGGAAGCTGAAGATGAAGGCTAAGAACTCAAAAATGCCAGAAACCCAATACTCCAGGCCACTGTTTAATTTACTCTTGGACAGATCTACTTCAAACTTTTGGTATATTATATATATAATATCAGCAGCTAAAACATTAGCAAGTTCATGGGGGTGGTGCTTTATTTTATATTTTTTATATTTATTTTTGGTTATTAGTTAGAGAGAGAGAGAGAGAGAGAGAGAGAGAGAGCCGCGCGCGCCCTAAGGGTGGCTGTGCAGTCGTATACAGGAGGGACTTTGAGGAGGAGAGAGTCGATCGAACAATTCCATGACCACACCTCTATCTTTCCGGCGTGGTGTGGGGCCACTTTTTTGGCGTACAAGTCAATCTAATCAATCTCTGGTCTCCACTGCTTTTTTTTATATAAAAAAACATGCCCCCAGTCCTAAATTAGACCCATTAATGCTTGGAAACCTTGACACCTGTTAGCTAGGTGGCTGATGGAGAAGAGGTCTTTGTTGATGTTGCAACACGTGTAATATTTGTGCCAGAAAATAATAGAATTAATGTCTCACATCATCCCATACATACAAGGGTTTTATAGAGTAACTGTGTTTCTACATGTAGAGCCAAAAATAATTGAGAAGCGACATGTGGATTTTTAAATGAAGAGGGCAAAATTACTCTTGAGATACACCGGGTTCCTTACACGCGAGCAGTGGAGAATCATCCATCAACCGAATCAAGAGTGCCCAAAATAGGTAACAAGCTCAAATTTATCTCATCCATCTTTACTCTATATCCTCTATAAGAAAATCATTCCATAACCTTCAAAAACCTTCCCTATAAATTAAATTAATGGATTAATTACTAATTAATCCATTAATCACCAAATTAATCACCATTACATCCCAAAAAACATCCAAGGCCCGACCACTCTCTCTTCCAAAGAGGGCCGACCATGCTCTATAAATAGGACTCCATTTTCTTTGAAAGAAAAAGTCCACACTCTTGCAAAACTCCCGAAAACTCTCTAAACACTTTTCTCTCTAAATTCTAATTTTGGCATCGGAGGTTCTTCGGCCAAAAGCCCCCCCCCCCAAAATTCATCGTGGACACGTGAGGCTCTTGGCCTTGACCTAAGGTGTTAATTGTTTTGTAGGTGCAATTTTGTCCAATATCAAGAAGGCGGAAATTTGCATCCACAAATTGGTGCTTTCATTGAAAGTTGATTCCCACACTTGTAGAAGACTCTTGCATCCAAGGTTTTCTATTTTTCTTGTCCATTTGTAGATTTTTCGTACATTCTTATTATTAGAATTTTTTATTTGTAAAAATTCTTTGATAAAATGTAAAAGAGAAGTACAATGGCTAGAAATTTAGAAAATTCAACAAATGAAAATTTCAACAGTCAAGAGATGGGACCACGACGATCCACGAGGCTAAATGTGACAATAGGTGGAGCGGCACCACCACCACAAGTTTCCACCACGGGAAGCACCGTGGTGGCTACTACGATAGCTACCCGCGCCGAGGTCCATTGACCCGACCCGTGCCATCCAAGGCGGCTCACGGCACTAAAGCCATGGCCTAAGCCATGTCACTCTACACCCAACGTGTTGCCAAGCAGAGCCCAAGCCTTACACCCACATGCATCACAAGCTGAGTAGCCCATTCTAGTGGCCTAGCCTGTTCCTGCTGAACAGTCCACTCTCGTGGTCCAGCCTGCTCCCGCCGAGCAGTCCACTCTCGTGGCCCAGCCTGCTCTTGTGGCCTATCCCACTCCCGTGGCCCAGCTTGCTCTCGCCGAACAACTCATTTTCGTGGCCCTAGCTTGCTCCTACCGAGCATCCCACTCCCGTGGCCTCCCAAGCAGCCCAAGTCGGCCCAAGAATATCTCAACTGTTGTCCACAACAACTGCTAAAAATCCTTTCTGGGTTTGTTCTCCAGTGTGAGAGGATAAACTAATTGCTCTTCAGTACAAGAGGGAAAACCAATTCCCCGACACCTATATGGGTCTACTCTCCAGTGCGAGAGGATAAACTAATTGCTCTCTATTGCGAAAAGGTAAACTAATTACTCTCCAATGCGAGAGGGTACACTAATTCCCCGACACCCATATGAGTCTGCTTTCCAGTGTGAGAGGATAAACTAATTGTTCTCTAGTGCGAGATGGTAAACCAATTCCCCGACACCCATATGGGTCTACTCTCCAGTGCGAGAGGATAAACTAATTGCTCTCCAATGCAAGAGGGTAAACTAATTGCTCTCCAGTGCGAGAGAGTAAACTAATTCCCCGACACCTATATGAGTTTGCTCTCTAGTGCGAGAGGATAAACTAATTGCTCTCCAGTGCAAAAGGGTAAACCAATTCTTCGACACCCATATAGGTCTGCTCTTCAGTGCAAGAAGATAAACTAATTGCTCTCCAGTACGAGAGGGTAAACCAATTCCTTGACACCTATATGGGTTTACTCTCCAGTGCGAGAAGAAAAACTAATTGCTCTCTAGTGCGAGAGGGTAAACTAATTGCTCTCAAATGCGAGAGAGTAAACTAAATCCCCGACACCCATCTGGGTAAGCTCTCCAGTGCGAGAATGCCACATAGCTCAAAAGATCGAATGTTTGATGCTTAACTAGAACAAATGGTTAGGGGGCAGCATCCACTTTTACACCTCATTCGACACTTCATCTTCAGTAAACTTCGATCTTGGCAGCTTCATCCTTGACTGTGTCCATCTACGGCAGCTGAGAAATCAAACTTAAGCAATTTCCTCATTTTTGGCAAGTAGCCCAAACCGTTGCCCATGTCACGCCACTTCCTCGGTCCATGCCGCACCACCTCGACGACCGCCCCGTGGCAGCACCTCCCAAGAAGAAGACAATGAGAATTAAGTTTTCCTTACATCCGTGTGGCGCGGAGAGGACAAAGAAAGCAACGAAAGACGGTCCTTTGCACGGGCAAGTGTAGAAGATTGCTAGGGGAGGGGGTTCAAATATCCTCCAAGCTTTCTCTCTCTCTTGTAGGGTTGAATAAATCGCTCTCCAAAGTTGATTTAACAACCCACTTAAGGTGGACTTAAACAGGCTTTGAGAGAAATTTATTTCGCTTTCCTAGAAGGATCTAATTTCATATTAAAGAGGGAATCGACATCAAAATATAAAAGCATTCCTATGTTTCCTAGAGCAAGAAGATCTCTACACCTCCTGCCCTTTCCTACAAGCAGCCCAGCAGGTATGGGGGCATTTGTGGAGCAAAAAATAATCAAGAGGCGACACGTGGATTTTTAGGTGAAGATGACAAAATTACCCTCGAGACACACCGGGTTTCCTACATGCGAGTAGTGGAGAATCATCCATCAACCGAGTCAAGAGTGCCCACAATAGGTAACAAGCTCAAATTTATCTCATCCATCTTTACTCCATATCCTCTACAAGGAAATCATTCCATAACCTTCAAAAGCATTCCCTATAAATTAAATTAATTAGGCTAATTAATGGATTAATTACTAATTAATCCATTAATCACCAAATCAATCACCATTACACCCCAAAAAAATCCAAGGGTCGGCCACTCTCTCTTCTAAAGAGGGCCGGCCATGCTCTATAAATATGACTCCATTTTCTTTGAAAGAAAAAGTCCACACTCTAGCAAAACTCCCAAAAACTCTCTAAACATTTTTCTCTCTAAATTCTAACTTTGGCATTGGAGGTTCTTCGGCCAAAGCCCCCCCCCCCCCACATTCGCAATTTTGTCCAAGATCAAGAAGACGGAAATTTGCATCCACAATACATGTTTGACTTGAAAATTCATTATATGTGAGAAGGTGTGTGAGAATGTAAAGATACAAGAGTCTCATATTGGTGAAAGAAAAAACTTTACAAGGGCTTTTAAGAGGTTGGGCTACTATTGCCAATTGATTTTACAGTATAACCTTAACTTTCTTCATAATATCAGAGCAAATTGAACCGTATGTGATACCCAATGACTACACGTTCTCCATGTTGCCCACTTCGTGCTGTCCACATGTTTGACTTGAAAATTCGCCAAACATGTGGGTGATGTGAGGATGTGATGGTACAAGAGTCCTACATTAGTGACAAAGAAACTTTGCAAAGAGCTTCTAAGAGGTTGGATTACTTCCTATATTGTCGGTTGGTAATATAGTCGAATCTGAACTTTCTTTAATGCTATCTACGCCCTTTTTTATTTTTCACTCACTATAATTTTTGTATTTGATTTTTTTAATTCATTTGTCGCCTATCGAAAATTGAGAGGAGTGTGTAGAATGTAAAAAGAGATCTGAGAAATACTAAGAGGAATCTCTCAAAAATGAAACTCTTTGTCACTTTATATTTTTGGCACAATGTTTTATAATATTGACAAGAGAATTGACGTTAAACTGTAAAGTGACAAATAATTTATAAAAATCACACTTTTGAGAAAGTTCCAATAACATTTCTCATAAAAATATATAAATATATAGCACCACCTTTTATATAATCCCCTTAGCATTTCTCAAAGAAATGTATGAATAACACCACCTTTTATATATGAATTGCTGGTTTTTCTAAATTCTGACAATCTTAATTTTGTTGCATAATCATTTTGATTATGAATAAGGAGATTATATTCACACACCTCAAATTACTTTTCTCGTGCCTTTTTAATTTTTAAATATTTATTTATCAAGTGCTAATGGTGTGTAGAAAATATTAAAAAATAAAAAAATGTGAGAGAAGTAATTTGAGATGTATGAATATAATCTCTATGTGAATATTGTAAGTGGTAATCAAGCAAATCTTTCTATTTGTTTGAGTTAGGGCATTCAATCAAATCTAATAATGAATTTGACAAATGTGAGAGATTTGATCTTACATGTTCAGGTGTATGATTTGACACACTGGATTTGAAATTTATATTCTCATCATTCAGGCTCATTTGTGGGATACATGGTATTTTAAATCCAATACTCGAAATCTAAGAATTAGATCAATTAAAGCCTAGTTCTCATTGGTTGTTTCTTCTATCTCTTCTTCAATTTGTAGTTTTTCCTATTTCAAATACGCATGACAAAAATTCCCGTAAATATATATGGATAACCTCGGAGATTCGCACCTTTAAAATTCAATCTGACGAATGTTAATAGCACTCCCACTCAAACCCACCTTGTATGCTCATTTAAAATAGTTTAATATAACAAAGATATGGTTTATCTAGAATTTTTCTTTCTCTTCATCACTCAAATTTAAAGTCATTTTTTGAGGATTTAATGTTGCTTATGGTATTATGTGGTTTGTTTATTATGTTTTCTGGTTCAGGACGTAG